TACTTGACTGTCTTTATTAAATCTTATCTTATAAACAATTTAATTAATTACATGTAATTACATCATTGCATTTATTGCGCATTACTGGATATTCAATCAGATTGCTATAGAATATCAGTACTGTATTGTTATAGGACTATTCATATACTAAGTAAATATAAAGGAAGATATTTATTAGTAGTAGTAATATCTTATCTTGATAATAGAAGAAGACGCATTTATTGCACAATTGGATTTTAATAGTAAACAAATGAAATTGATAATTAAACACAAACAGATGATTGGTTAAAGTCACGATTGATAATAATATCAAGAAAAACCCAAAATATACAATCATGACAATGTATAGTAAGTAATCAAGTACAAACTCCTCTCTATATTCTTTTAACAAAATATTCTTTGTTTCTTGTATAATCACTTCAGTATTATTGTTATAAGTATTATACAGATCTTGAATTAATATTATAATAGCTTAAGCAAGATTATCAGGAGTATTATAAAAGTGATTACTTAATACTAGATTATCTGAATATATTTGTGACAAAATCTATTAAGCATTATATTAAATAAAGAAATTATTATTATAATTTATAAATCTGTTTTTGAGATTATATTGCTAATAATATATTGCTCATAAATTTACCTTCAATTTTATATTGCTAATAATATATTATTTATCTTTGATTTTATATTACTGATAATACAAATATTATAATTTCTATAACTTTGACTTTGAGATTTTGAGAACTCTTTTTAGCAATTCAGATTATTGTGTTTAAAAAATATAACTGTTATCAATTTTTAAGTGATTTTGTCACTAGTACTTTTTGTACTTATTCACATTTAATCTAATAGTTGTAAAATACTTTGAATTATTATTAAGATATTGAAAGTTTTTCTTTGAATATTCCTTAAATTTTATAAATATCTTTGAGTATTTTGAAAGTTAATTAAAATGGTAATAGTATTAAACTCTTTAAAAACTCACTTATAATAATAACACAAATAAAAAACTCTTATCACATTTTTATATGTGATAGACATTCAAGTTTGACAATAAACTCGTAAATTTATTATTACTCAAGTGATAATGCACATATAATTCTATCATTATACTTGAGTAAAACTAAGTAAAAATAATATAATTATGTTATTTTCACTTTAATCTGATAAAATTGTTCTAATTATAAAATTATTATAATTAAAATATAAAAAATTAATTATAAAAAATTTTTGTAATTAAAATAACTTTGTCAAATTAATTCTAAAAATATACAGTCAAACCTCTCTATAATCATTACTTTTAAGAAAGCAAAATTTGATGACTATAAAGAGAATGTGACTATAAAGAGAATTTTTTTACTATATTTATATGTAAATAGAAAAGCAAAATAGGATAACTATAGAGAAATGTAATTATAAATAAACATGATTATAGAGAGATTTGACTATATGTTAAAATAAAATATAATTTTTATTTTAATAAAATATTTATTAAAACTTTTATATAAAGCAAAAATTTTTATTTTTATTATATAATAACTAACAAAATTATAAAATAATATATAATTTTATTAATAAAATATAATAAAAATTAAAATTTTTGTTTTATATAAAAGCTTTTAATTTTATTATAATATATTATTTAAAGTTATTAAATCTTTATATTTTATAAAATATATAAACTTCTTAACTATAAAAAAATCCAAATTTAATTCATAAATATGATAAAATAAAACTTATTTTACTATATTCGTGAATTAAATTTGGATTTTCTTCATAGTTAAAAAGTTTATTATTTTATAAAATATAAATATTTGATAACTTTAAATAATATATATTATAATAAATATTTTTTATTTTTATATTAAATAAAAATCATGTTATATTTTAATATATATTTTTTCTGGATTTTTATTTAATAAAATTGTTTTAATTATATTATTTAAAAAAGAAATTATAAAAGAAATAAAGTAAATATAAATTTACAAATTTAATAAATACTATTTTATTTTTATGTATTTATAATCTTTTTAACATATATTTAAGTAATAATATATTATTAAGTGAAAGTTTAAAATTAAAAAATATTATTATTTTATTATCAAAAAAAATCTAAATTTCTATTTTAAACATATTTGTCTAAAGACCTAAACTGGATTTTATAATAAAAATTTGAAAGATTAATAATTAATTTTGAAAAATTATATATACAGTCTGATCTTTCTATAATCACATTCTTGAAATATGAAAAACTGTGATTATATAAAGGTTGTGACTATATGAAAATTAAATGTAATTATATGGAAAGTGAGTTCGATTGTATATGTATATTTTTCTGCATCAAAAGTACTAAGAATTCGTGATTAGTGAAAATCTATTATAATTTTTTTGCCAGAATCTAAATTAAATATACATTTTTAATTTTTAATATGAAATTACATTTTAACAGTGTGTAGATATCTCTATTAGGCATCTTGTTTTATTACAAGCTGAAAATAATATTTTAGATTAAAGTACTTCACGTATAATTATAATTTGTGCTCGGTTCGCAATCACATGATAACAAACTAATAAGAATGCGCAATCATATGTGTGCTGGCAAGTATTAAAGGTTAATTTTATCGTTTGGGTTAGAGCTCCAAGTTAGATTTAGACATCTGTTTCCCATATTTTTCACATTTCATTTTTTTGTGTCCGGGCTGATCAAAAATTTGCGCATTCTTATTGGTTTGTCATGTTCATGTGATCAGGAACTGAGCACAGACTATAATTACGTACGCGCGTGCTTAATTCGGGATCGACATTGTTTTCATTATTAATCTAGATTCGAGCACGGAAATAGGTTATATACCTTTATAGTATTAATTTCGAATTTATTTTTTTATGCGAAAATACATAATAAATATTGATAATTATAATAGATTATATAATAATAATTCAACTAAAGATGGAGCCACAATTGATTACGATCTATTGCAGCGCCATCTTAGACACAAAAAGATCTGACCAAACATCAACCACTGCATGAAGCTGTTTGATCTCATCATTATTCATTTCTTGAAGTTTACTATATGTTATGTTTTCGGTATACAACAATAACTCATGTTGTGTTGGAAATAGTTCAAATAACAGCTTCGCTATCCGAAGCCTATTATGTCTGGTTTTGGTTCGCTCGGGATCCTTTACCAAGTAATTGGCAATTTCTTCTTCTAATTCTGGTTGTTCTAATAGAATTTTGACGATAATTTCGCCCATTTTCGCTAGTAGATGCAATCGTTTCGAAGAATAATTACGCTTTGGTGCAATATTATCATACATATCTACTAATGAGGATAGTTGTTCCAAAGAAGATCCAGCAACCTGAGTCACCGGTTTAGTTCTGTTTTTTAGAAATTTGGTAGCCGCTTTTCTGAGTTCATCATCGATATCCTTAACTCTAGTCGATCGAGGTTCTATGTTGTTTAATGGATGTTTCTGTTGATTTGTAATTTCCCGGTGTTCCAGACGGTGATTTGTAATTTCCTGGTGTTCCAGACGGTGATTTGTAATTTCCTGGTGTTCCAGACGTTGATTTGTAATTTCCTGGTGTTCCAGACGGTGATTTGTAATTTCCCGGTGTTCCGGACGTTGATTTGTAATTTCCTGGTGTTCCGGACGTTGATTTGTAATTTCCTGGTGTTTCGGATGTTGATTTGCAAATTCCGGAAATCCCGGATTAATTTCCGGAATTTCCAGACATTGATTTGTAATTTCCTGGTGTTCTGGATGCTGATTTGAAAATTCCAGAAATCCCGGACTAATTACCGGAATTTCCGGACATTGATTTGTAATTTCCTGGTGTTCTGGATGCTGATTTGTAAATTCCAAAATTTCCGGACTAATTCCCAGAATTTCCGGACATTGATTCATTTGATTTGTAATTGCACATTTGCGGTGTACTTGGTAGTATTCGTCATCGTCATCGTCAAGTATGTATTGGCCACAAACACAACAAATAACAAGTGGCTTGGCAAACGCTTCTTCTTCAACTTTAATACCATTATGATTGATGGTTATTTTAAGGAACGGGTTTTCTTCTACATAATGCAACAAAATTGTTGCTGATTGTTGAATGATAGTTGGCAGCGCATCAACGGTTGGCATTTTGTTGTTTACGTAGTGTAAAGATAATGAAAGTAAATATAATGTATGAAACGAATAGTGAAAGGTGTAATAAATTATGAAACGAACAATGAGAGGTGTTATGGAAGGTAGGGGTTGATATCGTTTGAACTAGCAATGCTAAGGAGAGAGGTACTATTTATATTGCATTTTCCAACAAATTGATCGACAATAACTACGTGATAGCACATTATCGTTACCATTTTGAAAATAAATGACAATACCGATACAATACATTGTCGTTACATTTCCCAACAAATTGATCGACAATAACTACGCCAAGAAAAAATCATATTGTTAAAAAACTGCGGTGTGCAGAAATCCAACAAATTGATCGACAATAATTGCGTCATAACAATAAACCATCACACAAGTTACAAGAAAAATGATTCATGTGTAAAAAGCTCCCAACAAATTGATCGACAACAACTTACGATGTGTAGAAATCCATCAAATTGATCGCCAATAATTACGTAATAACGATGATACGCGCACACTACGTTACATTTCCCAACAAATTGATCGACTTAAGATGACCCAGATATAATGCGCAGCAACGAATGCATATTCTTGTTCACGTGATCTGCGAAGAGTGATGGTCAAAGACAGAATTTCTGATATGACCGTGTAATACGCAAGTACTGAGGTTCTTCCTGGTGACAACACAGAATTGTCTTAAATCTAACATCGAACTTCCACTAGCTTTAGATTTATATGCTAAAATGTTGTGATTATCTTTATTTGTAAGGTACATACGTCCAATCTTAGATATTTAATATTCCGACTAATTAATAAATTCACTTTAAAGAAACTACTCGTAAGAATAGAATACACTTTTAGAATGATCGTGTGTAAAGAAAAAATAGTTATTTGATTATGAGATCGCTGCTCGTTTGTATCCAAAGATTTGTTGTGGGAAGAAGGAAAAGCAAAGAGCAATAGACTGTATTTATATTTCTTTGTTGACTATAAATGAATCGGATCCTTTTTTCCAATATATATGCTTTTGTCTAATGATAGATTACTGTCTGATAATAAAGACTTTGCAGCTTCATCAGAAAGAGTAATAGTCATAGTCTCCAAATCACTACCGGAAGTTCTGAGGATATTCAGAATTCAGCATTTAATCATAGATTAGGAACAGTATCAAAGTATGATTTGACAAGGTTATCATCATCATCGGTGTAAAAAAAAGCTCAAAGTAATAAATCCAAACATTTATTTCTGATGCGGAGTTTAACTTCACCTCATTAAAACTCGCTCATCCTCTCATCATAGTTGCTTAGCACGATCAATGTTCATTGAATTTGATAATTTGCATGTATTGGCCTTAGCACGATTAATAACACGGAACCTTTCTCATTTGAATATTTGCTACTACCACCAAGATCTGCACTAGAACCAATGTTCATTTAATCGAGTTTGATGATTTGCATGTATTGGCACTACTTATATTCAGAAGTATAGAAATCCAACAAACCGTCACTTTTGAATATCTTCCAACGTCTGATGACACATAAATTTTCCCTTGGCAAACATTTACACATCGAATTATACAGTTCCATCTGCCAAATTCTTTCGAATAAGTCTCCGTTTTTCGACCTCCCCATATTATTAATCAATACTAATGGGACCCCCCCTTTCAAAGGTGCTGACGACACGCATGTAGTGTATCGTGATAGATCCGTCCTGGAATTCTAGAACTTTATCTGCCAACCACCCATTACCTGGTCAGAGACACTCACCTTTTTAATATGAATAAAATTAAAAAAAACGAAAAAAAATTATATATGAAATTTTTTGGTCGCTCGAACTCCACCAAGCAGTATTTTGTTCCCAGCTCAATGAGCACTGCATCAGCTGCCCGCTCCGGCGTTGGAACAGTATTCATCCGGGGAGGTGATCCGCCTGGCCAAGACCCAAAAAACTCAGCAGAGCTTTAACTGGATTTACTCACGACTGGTACCAGACTTGCTGTCTTCCTTGGATGTGGTACTCCTACCATCGAAAGTTGATAGGACTGTGCGATTCAAAAGTTGGACATGCATGGCTTAATCTTTGAGACAAGCATATATATGACTTTCTAGTGATCCGCTTACCATGACTGCTGATAACAGACTAAGGTTGTTTTTATAAACAATTTACACATCGTTCATACGAACTCGAAAATAGTTTTTTAAAATCTTATCGATCCCACTCTCTTTGTATCGTAATTCATTAATTCAAGCAACATGTTGTGAACCAAATACTGTAACCACAAGAACAAATCAATAGTTATTGACGAAACTTCAATTTCTGCTTCGAAAGCTGTCAAAGATGCGTTTGGTGATAATTCATTACGTTTATTTCTAAACGTCTATTTCACTTATCCAGGCACACTGAAAACAGACTTTTCTGCCCCGTTTATTCGTAGTGTTAGCCGGACAAGGTCTTTATTGCGGAGGAATCTGTTTAATGTAATTCGTGTATTGAAACGCGCGAAATTATCCCTTAATGGTTATTTTTAAAGATAGATAATCTATGCAGAACAATTATGTGCGACACGTCACGCGTAAAAAATTGAATCATTAAATTTTCTCGTAACATCAATATTACAAAGCATTTTAAACAAATGCCTTTTTCGTCAAGAATAATTGAAAGTTTCAAGCTGCCAAAAGCTCGAATTAGCATAGCTGTTGAGAGTCAGGCAGGTTTGTGCCGATAGAATCGATTTGTTTATTTTACATAGTAATTTTTTAATATTTTCTCGAATAGAAAATGTTGTAAAACAGATCATGAGAGCTGAACAAAAGAATGGTACAGTGACCGTTGTAGAAGTGTATCCTGGTTCGTATATTTCAATTACCTATTTCTTATGATTGGCATTGGAAGAATTGCTAATTGTTCTAAAAATAAAAGGATATGGTTTATTGACCAAGGCACTCTTAAAATCAACGAATCCGAGTATACGAAAAGTGTACGCATTTGAACCGGAGAAAAAGTGTGAGTCTGAGCTAACTGTGAGTGCTTGATACCTTAACATGATTAGCAAATTGTTATTTCATTATTTATTATATAATAATAATAACATATTTGTCAGCTATATTTAATATATCCAGGAGTTATCAAAAGAATTCAATGGACGGCTAGACTTTTCTATTGAAAACGTATCTCGAGAAAAAGCATTGCAGAAGATCGGGGAGAAACTCGATAATGAGGGTGTTGTACCAACTTATCCTTGGGAGGAAAGTAAGTGCGGATGAGAGAAATTCAAATACAACCATAAATTAGTTCTAAATATTATATTATACAGTACACCCAACACTAATACTCACAGGCCAAATACCACTACCAACCAAATCTGATAACTATGTGTTATCACTATTATTGCGAGCATTAACTTCCCGATTGAGTTTCTTCGCATTTGGGCGAGTAGAAATGAATTTGCTTCTTCCGGATCCTTTACTCAGAGTTAGTATTTCAAAAGTCGACAAGGATTGTTTTCTGTTTTTTTTTTTTTTTTTTTTTTGAATTACTAATATAAATTGAATTCTCTTTTTTAGAGAGTATATACTGATGAAGTTGATACATCGCGAAGGGTTCTTGATTTGTGCATTCAGGCGTTTGCGGAAACTAAAGTATTAATGGTAGTGCCGCAAGAAGATGTTGCGCCAAAGGTAAATTTAATTTTAAATTATTAGATTAACTCCTATTGCTTATAAATATAAAATTTCTCGTTTCCAGTCCAAAAAATCCACCGAAAAGAAAAATCAATTATCCCTTGTCAGAATAACGCCATTGGCTACACCGAAAATTGAATGTAATATTAAGTAATAATATTTGAGTTTGGTTTCTGGTATTGACCTTATTTTTGACATATAATAATAAAGACTCGAATTTAAATCTACAGCATCAATGTATAACACATACAAGTATATCTTAAGTAATCTTTTTCATGTACCGACCCAACCATTAAAGCAACGCATAAGGTATGTGTCTTACGATAATTGATTAATAAATTAATTGATTTATTAATTTGATTTTCTCATATATATAGAAGTATAGCATGCGGCGCGGAAAATCTACTACCAAAACTGTCCTTTAACACAAAAATTGCAGCTGGCAGAATGACGGTGGACCAAGTGTGTGAGTTGACGAGAGTATTTGAAGAGTGGCCTTTTCGTCCGAAGCTTGAAGAGTTGATTCATGTGTATGATGAAGAATTCGAGAAAAAACGACGACGATGATATTTTTTATTTTTTGCATTTAACATAATAATTTACATAATATAAACACCCATTTTTGTAGCGAATATATTTATTAATTCAAAAAGGAAATATTCCTCTATATGTCTGCATTTCTCGAATAATTCAAAATAAACTTATTTCCACAGTATTACCAATCGACCGATCCGACTTTATTTTTATTATGATTGTTATTTTTATTGCTATTATCGTTATTATTATCATTTTTAATACTATTATTACTATTACTATTACTATTATTGTTGTTGGTATTATTCTTATTCTTGGATATACCATATTTTTTTGCTATATATAATTCGGCCACTGGATCAATTGGTTGCTTTTTCTTTCTATTTTCCTTTCTCCTTTTACTTTCCGTTCTCTTTTGACCAACTATTCCATTTGCTGGTAATGGAACCAAATGTTTGGATGGCTTAATGTCTTTGCCTAATTTTAGCACCCAGATAGGTTTGCTAACTGCAACAATTTTTCTTTGTTGTGATCCTTGTTGTGTTGGTTGAGGTAGTAGATTTTTTTGTTCTGTCGTAACATTAGTATTAGTAATCGCAGTAGTATTAATATTATCATTGTCATCATTCGACAAAATTTTATCTATTCTTGTTTCAATAATCGCTCCAGGTCGTGGAAGAGTTCTTTTTGGTTGGATATTTTTCAGTGGCTTTTCAGGACTTATTTTCTTTTTGACAACTTTTTCCTGTACTACTAAATGCTTCAAAACATTTTCCTTAAAGTAATTCATCGTCCCTAGTTGTGGGTATAGTGGCAAGTAAGTTTCGTGAAGCTGACGCGCCGTCATTGGACCATGTTTCGCGAGTAAATGAAGTACTACTCGTGTTGGTCCTGGATAATGTTTGATTCGGGGTGTCACGTCCTTGTAAGCAACGAATGCTTTTTTACGAAAATTGGGTTTTACTTTCGCGAAATTTATAATATTTGAAAGAGGTAATGTTTGGTACATTTTTTAAACGTGAAGGTAAATTTTCCACATGACTTATTAGAGGGAACACTAAAGCGGGGTAGTGCAATCCGGATTGAGTCGATCTGGACGATTAGATTTGGTATTTATTGCTTTTTTCCCCGCTTTAGGTGTTAGCAAACACCACTAACCAAAAATGTATACGCGCTAGTAATTCCCTATTTCGATTTCACATCTTGGTTTAACAACTTCACTTTGGTTTTCAAGTAACTGCTACTTCTTAATTTCATGCCATTCACACCTTAAGGGAACAAACATGGCGACAACAGCATTAGATCCTTTTAAACTTATTGATATCGAGAATGCTACTGAGGAACAGGCGTTGGTCTTGGAGGATATAACTAAACAATTTGAATTATCGACTCAAAAAATCACCGAGATTGTCCAGCATTATGTTGGTGAAATGCACAAAGGCTTGGAAAAGAACAATCATACCCTGGCAATGATTCCCAGCTTTGGTGGGTAATGGAACATTATGTATTTGGGCATTTTGTATAGAAAGGTGAAAGTTAAAAAATAGAAATTGCAATATAACATTCATAGGAATTTGTTTCATGTCTTTTAAATAAAGATAAATTGGATTTCAATTTTTGTATATTAGCTCATTAGTTAATCGTTGCTATTAATTATTTAGTTATTGGTAAACCGACCGGCAAAGAAGTTGGAACTGTTCTCGCCATGGATTTGGGTGGCACAAATTTTCGTGTTTGCCTAATGGAATTCAAAGAAAATACCGAAATAAATATCAAACAACAAAAATATCGCGTACCAGATGAATTCAAAACTGGAAAAGTGAATATGTTGTTTGATTATATCGCTGACTGTGTCGACAAATTCCTCCAAGAAATCGGCTATGAAAAGAAAAATGGAATATTAGACCTTGGCTTCACTTTTTCTTTTCCTGTGCAGCAAACGGCTATCGATAAGGGTACTTTACTACATTGGACCAAAGGATTTGAAGCGGAAGGAGCCGTTGGAGAAGATATCGTTAAATTGATGCAAGGTTCATTAAATCGAAGACAAATTCCTGCTCGTGTCGTTGCTTTGATAAACGATACTGTTGGAACATTATTGGCACATGCTTACAAACGTCATACAGATGCTTTAATTGGAGTGATTCTTGGTACTGGTACTAATGGCGCGTATTTTGAAAAGATATCACATATTAAAAAGTTGGGCACTTTTCAATCTAAATCCGAAGAGATGATTGTTAATATGGAGTGGGGAGCTTTTGATCTCGAGGTAAAGTATATCGGTTCGTTTTGTTAATGATTTCTCTCTTTTATATATCTATATTCTTCACTACTACTATTATTACTATTACTCTTTCTATGCCTATTGAATCAGCGTAAAATTCTCCCAATTACAATGTTTGATAATAAATTGGACCGTGAATCATTAAATCCTCGTGCTCAATTATTCGAGAAGCTCATCTCGGGAATGTATCTCGGAGAAATCGTGCGCAACATTATTCTTTACCTTATTGATCGTGATCTTCTATTTAAATGTGTGCATTTTGACTACTCAACATTCAAAGAAATTAACAAGCAATGGGCTTTCGATACAGTTTGGGTCTCGACAATTGAGGCAGATCAAAGTTCAAATCTTGACGACACCAAAATAGTTTTTGAGAAATACTTGAACATATATTCAACCTCTCTAACCGATCGACAAATCGTAAAGAAAGTTTGTCAAATTGTGGGAATTCGCTCTGCACGATTAGGAGCTGCTGGGTTAGCAGGCGTGATCTCACATCGAGGCGCGATTAAAACTGGATGCAGCATTGGAATCGACGGATCATTATTCGAATTTTATCCGAATTTTGAACAACGACTCAAATCCACATTTCACGAAGTATTTGGATCTGATGCTGAGAATATTCATCTGGAACTTACGAGAGATGGATCGGGTGTGGGTGCTGGTAAGCATTATCGCTTTGCACATTTATAGATTAAGATCTTTAGATGCTTATTTATTAATTGTGCTGTGATGTTAATAGCGTTAGCTGCTATACTGGCAGTAAAACACGCATAGATTATCTTGGAAGACGCACCTCTCTGCAAATTAATTACATAATCCTTTAGAGTTAGTATTTTATTGTTATTGTTTCACCTGATGATGGCGATCATTACATACATGTACATCATTCGCATTATTAATGAAAAAAAAATAAACACGCCTCTTCTCTCGAGAGACACGAACACTTGTTTCACGTCTACTGTTTCACTTGACCTTATTTATTCTTTTCTGAGTAAAATTCACAAGGCATAATGGAGGAACAGAAAGCACAAATTCAATTAAAGCAAGAAGAGAATAACTACCTCCAAAGTAACCAAGAATCAGATTCTACCCAGCAACGCCTCGATGACCAAGATGCCAGACCCTCACAGCCTAATGTTACCACCGACAATGTTATTGCTGGCGAAGGCATTGTTAAAGTCGAACAACATACAAAAGAGGAGCAAGAGACTATTACTACTAATAATGGACAAAATGATAATGCTTTGATGGTTTCTAGGATGCGAGGGCAAGACTCTCCTACTCAAATGCATAGTATTACTACTACAGATACTCCACCACCCGAGGAAGAAAATGTACGCGTGTTTGTTGGAAGCCTTGCCTGGGAGGTTAATGATAATGATTTGAAACGAAGATTCTCCGAGTTTGGTGAAGTCAGGGAAGCTGTTGTTGTTCGCGATAAATCAAATGGCAAGTTGTTTTTTAAGCGCAAATAATCAAATAAATCATCTAAATGTGAAAATAAACAAATTTGTATAATACGTAAATACAGGCTTTAGTAAGGGTTATGGATTTGTGACTTATTATGATGCGGAATCTGCAGCAAAGGCAGTCAATGGAATGGTAAATGAAAGTATTGGTGGTCGCTCTGTTCGTATCGAATTTGCAGAAGTGAGATATAGACCAAGACACAGAGATAGTGATTCTTGGAGTTCAAGTCAACATCGTGAATTAACATCACCTGTTCGACACCGAAGTACTGAAGATAACATAGAAAGAGAAGTTGCTATTAGACTACAGAATATCAATGAAGATAGTCATGTTGCTCTTATATCACCTTCAATTAGACATCAAGGAGAAGACGAACATACTCAGGAATCATCATCTTCAATGAGGGATCGAAGTAGCGAAAAGGAACATTCTCGTACTTCATTGACTTATAATAATAGAAGTCGAAGTTATTTGGAGGATAATCCTGAACTATCTTTAAAGTATCGAGGAGATTTAGATGATCGTGGATATGCTCGTGATCGATATTTTTCTTCTAATGAGTATACACGTGAACGTTATTATGTGCGAGAGCGTGTTCATGTTTCAGGAGGTTCATATCCAATTAGGGAGCGTCTTAATGAAAAGGAGCGTGATGGATTTTTGAAGAACCGAGAGCGAGCCCATGAATTTGAACATATTCGAGATAGTAGAGAAGTCATCAATTCGGACAAGCTTGCACGTGATGAATATGTCACTGGAGAGCATATTTGTATAAAGGATTATCCGGGTGATTATGATCAAAGTGGATCATCTGTGCATGACAACAGGAATAATGATAATAAAGAGCAAGGGTCTCGTATTGAACAGCTTAATGAATCTGCAGGTCAAATAGTAACTGCAGCTGAAATCGTTGGTCGTCCTGAAGAAGGTACAGAGAAATTTATAGAAGCAAAAGGGGAAAATCAAATTCATGATAAGAAGAAGGAACAACTGACTCTAACTCGTTCGAACTCAGTTGCAGTGCTAGATTACAATGAATCAATTCCACAACATAAACTATCTGAAAATCGTAATGAGAATGAATGGTATGCTGATAAAAAATTTCGTTTCAACAGGGATCCCCAATTAGATCAACGAGGAAATCTCGATTATTTTCGAGGACGTGGGCGAGATCAAAGAATTGAATTTGAAGGTAATCGAGGCAGAGATATTGACAGATCTCGGAATCGTGATCATCTGGAACGTGAGAATGAACGTGCACGAGAACGCGACAGAGAATTCTGGATACGTGAAAAAGAAAGAGAGAAATTAAGAGAGCGTGAAAGAGAAAGAGAGCGCCTTAGACAACGTGAATTTCTGGAACGTCAACGTTTGCGTGAAAATGAACGATATGTTGAGTATAGTAGGGAGTCCGAACGTGTTTCTGTTCCATATCATGAACATCCTAAACAACATGCATTTGTTCGTCCTCCTTATTATGAATATGGAAGACAGAATGAAAGAAGACGCGTCTCTCACATAGATTTCCCCAGGATTACTGAATATAAAGCAAGAGAAGCTATCGAGAGAGAACGTTCCCGTGATCATGATCTACGTGAGAGAGAAAGATATCATCGAGATTATGAATTGGATGCTTATCACCGTGGTTCTCCAATTACTAATAATAATATAACGTATAGGGATCCTGCTAGTAAACGTGTTCCATATGATTACTATTATTCCTCTTCGGTGATGCCTCGTACCGCGAGGAGATCAATTTCACCTCGTCGCCCTAATGTGCGCAGATCTTTATCACCTCGTGGGAATAATTATTCTTTGCGTAGGTCATTATCACCTAGGCGTCCATTGCCAGTTCCTCCTTATAATAAAGGTAGATATAACAAATATGAAGGATCTGGGATACGAAATAGTAATAATCACTATTATCAAGAGTCTCGCCGTGAGCAAGATTATGATTCTATCTATCGATCATCTAATAATTATCGTAATAATAATAGTAATAATCGATTCTTACCTAATAATGCATCGATAAATTCTAACAACACGTCTCAATCGAAAACTCTGCCTGATAGAGAAAGAATACCATTAGATACTAATGAAAGCACTATGGAACCTGAAAATTACAAGCCTATTATTAATGGGCAAGACGAAATATCTAATGATAGCAGGCACTGGGATTCAAAGATTACAGATACGCTTGCAGAACATAGTATTGGAAGCACTAGTACAATTGTTGCCAGCATAAGCGGTGCTCCTGCGGCTGTTCCTCCTTATGAGATGAATACTGAACAAGCACATGAATCTACTACTAATTCTGGGCACCAAGATTCACGATATTGGAATGATGTTAAAAAAGAAGTTAATGATTCGAACGTTGAAGTAACTTCTAAACCACAGCAAAAAGATTCTCGAGAATCTGAACGTTATCATCTCTGGAATACGGAAACAGATGCAAGATTACAAAACATTGAACGAGGGCATCGCGAAGGAGGCGGTAGTGGTGTCAACTCCGAAATCGAATATAAATTCGGGGCTCATAAACAAGCTGGATATGAACGTGAAAGACATGACAGAAACTGGGAAATGGATTTAGAAAGTGAAAGACCAATAACTCATAAAAAAGAATTTATTAATGATCCGAAACACCGGATGACTGATTATCAGGACGACCTTAGAAGAGAACAATAGTCAATGGAAACATTGATCATTCATTAATCATGATCTGTATTTTACATGAATATTATTTTTACTGGTTTGGCGAAAATTGTGATGGAGCGAATATATATGAAGACGAAGAGGATAATGGGTTTCTTTTTACTTGTAGATTAACACACTCATCTGGTCCTTTTATTCTTAGTCTTCGTGCATTGTTTTCTCTTTGAGCTTATAATTTTAGGTAGTTTAGCGCTATTTTTCTCGACTCTATTATCTTTTTTTACTCTATTTTCTTATTTCTAATGCAGTGCACTAAAAAAGGTTGGATTCACGAAATTTGAATTGAAAAAAATATGGCAACATTGATAGGCATATTATACAATCATTTATTAAAAAATTAATAAATTTAAAAAATGCTTTGACTTTATCCCACAATATATAATATAAAAAAATCTTGGACTCGACATTGTCCTGTGTCGTGAATTTTCTAGTAACCTAATATCTCGAAACCAAAATATTCAAGAGGTCATCAGAATGCAAACTTTCCGCAAAAGTAAGTTCAGCCTATTAAAAAATACAAAATATCAGTAAATTCAACAGTTATCTTGTTATCAAAAGCAAAAATTATCGCATGTTATGTGAAATTTACCTCCTTCACACACAAATAAACCCTTGAAAATTCTTTTCCCAAAGCATCTTGTAAAATGTTGTCTTTCTTAAATGCATCCAATGCTTCACGGAGAGAACAAGGTAATCGTTCAGTGATTCCATAGGCATGTCGTTCTTGGTCAGAAAGAGTTGCAGGGTCGCCTATTTTACATATCACCAACAATTAGAAAATCGTACTTAAACATATATTTTATAAGCTGATCAATTGAATACTTTACATTCAACGGCTTTTATCTTTGATAAATCCAATCCTTCCTTAATTCCAGCTACGCCGGCAGCAATCAATGCAGCGGTAGCCTAAATTAACAATAAATAAATTTAATAAGAAATGCGCACGAAAAAGAATCAAATTAAAGCCAGAAAAATACTTGCAATATAAGGATTAGCAGTCGCATCCACAAATCGATGCTCAAAATTATATGATCCACCACGGTAACAAATACGAATCTGTGATTCTCTATACATATATCATCAATTGTTAATTAAAAATTAGCACACAAGCCCAGAATAAATAGGTAAATACAAACCGATTTTCAAATCCATAAGAAACATAAGTAGACCCGGCCCAACATCCAACGACTAGACGCTTATACGAGTTTGTTGTGGGCAATGTCAAGGCACAAAGGGCGCGAAGATGTCGTAATGTGCCCGCAATGAATGATTGTTCGTATTTCGATAACTTATCGTTATTGGGTGAATTTTGGTTTTCCGTCGTCAAGGATAAATGAAGATGTGCTCCATTACCAGCTATTTAAAATCAAAGGAGTCAATTCTACTACAATAATCATTTATTTATTCATTAAAGAAAATATTAACCTTGATCAGGATAAAGTTTCGGTAAAAAGGTCGCATGATGCCCATATTTAGCCATAACATCATAGATTGTTTGTCTAGTCGCAACTAGATTGTCGATTGATTCCAAAGGTGGCGCTGGGCCAGTCACCATTTCATACTATGAATAATTCAGAGAGATTAAAAATTTTGATTTTCATCGGTTTCTTTAATTCACTATATGGTTACCAACCTGTCCTTTAGATGCCTCGGGATGAAACTAAATAAAAATATTAATGGGGTAAATAAAGGTTATTTTTTAAACATAATAAATTTTTTATTTACCTGTTCGACAACAATATCTTGTTTAAGTAATGACTCTGCAATCTCTTCAAGAGCAGGACTAATCCAAGAATTACAACGCAAAGCAGAACTTGCCGCATACACAGAATCATCGATCGACTTAAAAGAACCATCATCGTTTTTACTAATCACACAAAATTCTGATTCAATGCCAACCAAAAATTTCACGCCAAACTCTTTGTACGCGTTATCCACAATTCTTTTTAACATCAGTCTAGGACAAAGTTCGGATGGACTACCCGTGATTTTTTCCACTATAAATGACTGAACTCTAATTTGGGTTGGAAATACTGTTGGTTTAAGTGTTTTCAGGTCAGGTTTTAATAAAACTTCTCCTGTGGCCGTCAATGAGTTTTTTACTATTTCGTCCCCGTAGTATGGAAGACATTGTACTACTGTTGCTGCCGATACCCCCGAGTTTATTGTGGATTCTTCGAATCTCTCGATTGGTATCACATGATGACGGTGGATGTTACTTATATCCAACCAATCAACTCGAACAAATTTGGCACCTAAGAATCCATTTTATATCTTTAAAATTGTAAAAATAATATGTATGCATAAATCTGATACATGCCCTTATTACGGAAGTTTCTTATCATTTTTATCGCATGTATGGGATTCACTTCCGCGTCTAAACTTGATGTTGCTGTTTCTACTGATTTCGGCGTAAGCGAGAGATTGTAAACTAAATTCGCATTAAAGAATCTTATGATAATCATCCAAAATTTCGAATATTATTAATAACAAATATTATCGTTATTGTATAGATGTAAATGAAATATAAATAATTACAATATTTTCTTTGCGATTTCAATAGCCTCTTCAATATTGAGATCACCGTTTTCAATTACCTCCATTAGAACCTATCATCAAATTAGTGATGAAATCGGAAGGCATCTCGATTAATGATTAAATCAATCGTGGATTACCTTTGTTAAAGTTTCTCTTGCTTCGACTACAGCGCAATAAAAAACTTCAGGCACATGATGTCCATCTATCGAAATAAAATTAAAAATTAAAAACCAAAAGAAACCCGTGAAAAATTTTCACATGACAATTACCAGTAGAAAATAATATCTTATTCGTAGGAGTAAGTGAAATAACTTCATGCAGTGTTTGTATTTGTGCATAATGAGAGATCTGAGGAAAGATCATTCTAATAAATCAAATATTTTAATATTAATAATGCATTGAATTTGGCAATTCTAAGATCATCGCAAAAATCAATTACCCAATATCAACAAATACATTATTATACACCTAAAAAAAGAAAATTATCTATGCTCAGAGATCCAGTTTTATATATCATATATATGTGTATATATATATGATTTCTGAATAATGAATTAAAAATACCGTAGCAAGATATCCAGCTTGACGCGTAAACGGATACGAAGCATGTAAAAGTATAATTTTCGCATCAGGATTTTCCTCGATTAACGCTCTCAAATAAAGTGGATTACTATGAAGAAGATTAAGATCATTATCGCCGAATCCTAATATAGTATATCTTTGTAAATTGTCGATTACTGTGTCAACACGTTAATGTTACACCAAATAATCATCGAATTTTTATTTATTACCAGTGTGAAATTGAATCGGCTTTTTAAAATCACTAGAAATTTTTATTCCAATATTAACGACGAGATCAATCACCGCCTTTTCATCAATTCGAACACTTTGTTGAGGTTGTGCTGTTTGAGATTTGTTGTTGTGTTGTCGAGCCTTTTTGAGAATCTCAATCAGAGCATGTTCAATTTTGGAATTCTCTTCTTTATTAGTATTAATATTTAATCCGGTACGATAGGCAGCGATAGATTTGAATGCAACCACATTATCATCTTTTGCCAATTTAACAAGTTTTTCTTGTAACAGAGGTTCAAATCGAGATAAATACTCATTTTCACTTTTATGATCATTTTTATTCTCATCGAAAAATAAACTTTCCAAAATTTCCTCGGCAACGCGTTCAATTCTCACAACACGTCTAACCTCTTCAACTAACCCGACATGACTCTCCAACGACTGATAATCACCATACAGACCATCATCAAACAAGATACACTGAATATTGACATTGGGTGCTTTGAAACACGTTTCACAGCATTCTTCAAAAGAGTGATGTGCACGTTGAGTTTTGAGAGATTCTAATTGGGAAGAAGGTGAAGATATCTCGGGACCATATAATTTGGAAGAGAGCTTAGTCAATTTTTGTATCCCTTTTTTAAAGGCTAGTGTATGTGTGGAATCTTGTAATGCGGGATTCGCTGCCTCGGTGAATGCTGCTTCGATTGGATATGTGTACCATTTTTGGTTTGTGAGTAATGGATGTGCATGGCTGTCAATAATTGGAAATGTTGCTACAATTTCTACTAAATCCTTTTGTGTCGTCATGGTCTTTTTTTATTATGTTGTCAAAGAAAAACAGTTTTTTGTCAAAGAAAACCGGTTTCCATTTATTTTTGACAGATATAAACAATGTGCCATTGGTGACACAGATTACCATTTATTTATGTGATCTTAATATCGATATTGATATAGTAGTTTACAAATTTATTTATTTTCCCACAGGGAAAATAAATATGTATTCAACACTCTGATTGGTTGAACCAAATTAATATATAAAATTACGTGTAACCAAATCGAAAATGATAAATTGTATTTTATTGATAATGTCCTGGATCTGCAAAATCTAGTAGAGGACTAAAAAATACAAGTCGAGAACTGCAAGTTACAATAAAATGCTTTTTGTTATACACTAATAAAATACAATTGAATTTCATCATTAGTTCGCTATAGTTTCTCAAGATAACCCAAATCCAACCTCCACACTGATCGCATATTCCAATTTTCTTTAAATAGAATAAGTGTTCGTTAATCAACATTTAATTCAATATAGGATTTAGCAAATCAAATACTTACTCTCTCATGGTTTTCAGATCCGGATAAGCGGGCAACTTTAATAAGTTTACGCAAGTACTTGATGTCGGCAACCGAAGCTCATGTCCTGCATTGCGTATGCTAAACTTTGGATTCAGTTGTTTGAATCCAAGCAACGGCGGTCGTGAACACGACGTGACAAACTTTACCAGTTTCTGCCGTTGCTCTTCAGTGAAGCTCTTGATAACCGTCCAGAAATTTTGAATGACAATATCGTTCTCTGAATAACCAGCATATACTGTATTTTCACGAAGGTCGTCCACATCAATTGGAGTCGATGTGCCACCAATGAGAATTTGAAGTTCTTGCTGTGCATATTTGATAGATTAAATCAATTTTTTGATCTACTTGGACAAGTAACAAAAAGAAAAATTCGAGGTCGCACCTGATTAAACATTTGTAGCCATTTCTCGTCAATCAAATCTTTCAAACCATTAAAGAATGCTTTGCATTGCCATGAGATTTGAGTATTTAGACGGTAATTCGCCATTCTAAAAATATAAGCAAGACGATTTTCCTCTGTCACTGTGGTTTCACTGCCACGGGGAATGAGGTCAATAGCTCGAGATTCATCAAATTCTGCATATTAAGATATAATGAATCCATGAAACATTAACTTGACCCAAACATTAAAATAAAAAAAAGTCTACAAAAACTACCTTTATCAACGACAGTAAAATTCAACGAAAGTTCTTCCACATTCCCTTTATAATTTTTCAAGAATATCAACCCTTGATATAAATCAGGATCCAGAGACGGCAAATCATCCACTAATTGAAAAATGATTTATAGCAATTTAGAATATATTTATTAAATCGAAAAAAAGTCGTTTAATTAACTAACTTACAATATGATAATTTTCCAAGCCATTTACTCAGGAAAAATCCAGCAAAAGCCGCATCTACTAACATGCCCTCATATAATGCTTTGCCCAATATCCGGCCAAGGAATGCATAATAATTAAGTTGCTGCTCTAAAAAAATTATAAAGAAAAATAAAAAAGATTAAAAAATCGCAAAGAAATCATGAGCGCAAATAAACAAAGAGCAAAATGTATTATATGTACCTTGTCGAGCATAAGCATGTGGACTTGGGTATAGGAGATTATCTTGGGTGTTCAGAAATAGCCCATAATTTACATCAAAAGCTTGACGAGTTAATCTAGATGATTATAATGATTCAAAACATCAGATCACATAATAATGGGTAAAATGAACGAACGATTCGTCACTTACGCTGTCAAAAATTCTTTGAATAAACCACCACCGTCGATGCCTGCCTCCGGAAGTCCATATTCGTCAATAAAACTTATGGCCACCGGTCGCTTAAGTTCCTTACCTAGGGTATTTAAATGAGTAAAACCATCTTCGAAAACATGAGTGCGACGAATCGTAGCACGTGTACGTCTATCCAAGAAAAAGTCATTATGATAATTTCTAAAAAATTTATAATAAATGATGATTATTATTGTGATTATTATGCGAAGAAAAATGATATTTTTTATTTGCATTTCTGTATACAACCCACAGAATTGGAACTGACCGTTCCCGATCATTTTCAATAAATTTCCTGAATATTTTTACGCGCTCCTCGAATGGTATTACAAATGGAATATTGCTTAGAATCTCTAGACGTGGACTTGTGGAAATGCTACCTCGCTTTACAAGTTTATTATCCGTGTCATCAGATTCAAGATCTTGCTCTTCCAGCACTACAGCTTTTATAAAAGCTGTCATGTCGAATTCAGATGTCATCAACCAATGATCTGGTGGGGTAAATCGTCGTCGAGAGCTATTGATAAAAACAATTTATTGATGGTTTATCTTCATATACACGTATAACAACACTGATATGATTAACTGCATACTCTCTCGCATGAATTTGTCGAAGTGTTTTTGTGACTGCATCCCTCAGGTAGTGTAAGGTAATGCAGCTACCGTCAAGCGTAGAATCCATTTTTAAAAATGTATAGTTCCAATACAAATTGAAAGAAACATTCTAAAATAATGATATAAAACAAACTTTAATATTTGATACTAGATAAAACGGGATTTAAGATTTCGCATACCCTTAAATATATAGACATTTCAATAATGTCTTTCATAACGAGAGGATTTTTTTCTTCCTGAAAGAATTCGTCATCGCCTGTTACGAATAAAATCCTACTTAAAAGCTCGCATAGCAATGCAAGCAAACCCCATTGCTCTGCGAATGCCTTATCTTAAAATTGAAAATCATGGATTAATTTCATCTCATTTGATGAATTTCACATTAAAAAAAAATGATTCAGATTTTACCAGTAACGATACTGCTCGAAAATAGTTGTGATTTCACTTTTTGTGCTAACTCTGTTGACTTGAATTCCTGCCAAATTTCATTTGTAGCAGATTTTCCTTTCCATTTAAGTGCGTGCCCATGTATCATGGCTTTCAATAATTCATCTTTGCGGGAAGGCCATTTAATCATCAGTGTAACTAAAAAATTGGCAACTTTTAAAAGGGAGTCTGTATCCGCTTTGGTGGCAAATGAGAAAATCGAAGACAAATGTTTTTGATCAAATAGTTTTTCAATCGCCTGCAAAACTTGTTGATCAATAATAATTTCTTTGGAAGATGAACTCGTGACCATTAACATGTCTAAATCCTCTTCATCCTCGTCCTCGTCAATCATCATACCTTAAATAATAGCGACAATATAAACTTAGAAATCAGAGCAGATTTTTATTGAAATTGATTATCACGTTTGTCTTTACCATTTGAATTCGACGCGTATTTTTCAGCCAAGAGATGAGCAGGGATAATCGAAGATAAGTTTTGTAGCACCTTTAGGTAGGCTAACTGCGCATATAAGTGAAGAAAGTCATTCAAGTGAATCTGAAATCATGTTGTATAAACGAAACTTTTACGTTGATATTAATCTTACCAAAGTTAGTTTCTTAAACGAGTCCACCTTTGGAAGTGCATAGATTAACGAATTTCCTAGTAAGGAGCAAATCTCTTCAGTTTGGAATTGATCAGTAGCCATATTGATTATATTTGACAATATAGCTTCAATCGGTAGATTCGTTATGGTGATATGCATTGGCAATAGAGGTATTGTGAATATTTGTTTTATAAATTCCGGCAATGCTATGTCTCGTATTTCACTTTTTATTGGAGTCATCAAAAGATCCGCAATAAGATTTCTAGATGAAGAGTTTGATTTATCTATGGGCTGATAAACGATCGTAGTTAAAAAAATGTCAAATTGATCTTTCTAACATGTAAATAAAATATTACCACAGTAAGTATCTGTTTCCTAAATCCCTGATATAACCCATTTGATACTAGATGCTCCATAATAGTTTTAACTGTTTTACTAAAACCGATATCACCGAAAAATAATAATTAATAAACTGTTATATAATACATATACTGTAATTAGTATGGGATCCGACAGAGTCAGATGATTTTTTTTATCTATTCACCCGCCCAAAAATCAGGTGATTTCTGTCAGATCCGTGACATACATTACGTAATATTTTTTACTGGCAAGCTATTTAAAACATGTGACGATATGTGACATTACTGATATCATAGAGCAGCGTTGTACATTTTGCAGATCTCAATCATTTTGAACTTGTCCAACACTATGTCCAAAATTGTCGAACACTGTCCAAAATTGTCCAACACTATGTCCAAAGACATCCCGTGACAACACTGCCCTAGAGCATTACGTAATATATGTCACAGCCCTAATAACATGGATAACCAAAAGAGCTTACCTGCCCTCCATAATGCCAGTTATTTGTTCATATTTCGAAATATCAATTGCAGATCGCAAGATTATTAAATACTCATTTATCCCCGTCTGGTCAAGGTCATGACTTTGATAATAAAAAGTTTCACTTAAATGTGTGATCATTTGTAGATATGTAACTACTTTGTTAATTTTAGTATTTACCTGAATCCAATACTCTTTAGGAAAATCAATAAAGTTTGCTTTAATTGAAAATTCCAAGTTTCACGTAACTCTTCTCTAGCGAAAGGTAAAAATAATGTTTGCGAGCCTAAGTAAAAAAAAAAGGAAAAGTCAATGTATATCAATCCTCACGCTGACTGATGATCTTTTCATAGAATATACCTTTTCGGTGCTGGCTTAATATTTGACACAAACACAGTTCGCGCTGGTTATCGAGATGAGGTCGATAAAAGAAAAGAAAACTCCGTATTAAATTTATTAATTCGTATGCTGTTTCAGCATTCGTCTCTTCCAGATTATTGAAAAACGCCCGAGCATGTTGGTCCCAATTAACACGCTCTATCTGACGTATATCGTTCGCTACTTTTCGACCACGATAAAACGCCTATATAAAATGATTCCCAAAAAGGACATTTATATGATATCAATGAAAGTCCTGAAATATTATCAAAAGTAGGGATATGAAATAGGACATTTGTATATGATACCTGGATCTTATTTGCCGACTTATTTCTCAATCGTTCTGCTTCTCTTGCTTTACGTTGTTCTTGGGTTCTTTTCAGTAATAATTTCTTATCTTCTTGGCTTCTCTGCCCTCCAAGATTGATTTGTCGTCTTGGTTTAACACTTCCCTCGAAGTTGTTAAACATTTTTGAAAAATTGAAGACAAAAGTGTTCTACACCTTAAGGTATAGGCCAATATGTATTTTGCAGGAACGAATATAATATATAACGCAGGATTTCAAGGTCTTAATAATAATGTAATTGCTTACAAAAAAAAGTAAGTCAGAAAACAATAAATGAAATAGATCATTCTGTGAAATTCTATGCGTAAATAAAATCTCAAAAGGAGAAAATTATAGCAATAATACTTATTTTGTTTATTATTATATTATTCCATGTTGATCTTGATAAACATCATATGTGAGGTTTAATACTCCGAAGAAAAAAAAAACTTTAAAAACTTCCTCACAGGTAGAAAAAAAATCGATAAAACTTACCTCTCTTATAGGCGTTATATCGAGCACCTTTACATAGCCTTTTTTCGTGAAAATAAACTTTTTGCCTGCTAAACACCGAGTCTGCTAAACATCGAGTCGGCTAAACTGTGAGGAAGTTGTTCAAAAAAAAATAGAGCTTTTTCTTCCACTTGATTCTCCCTAATAGATTAACCTTTCAACAAAAAAATCACCTTTACAATTTAAAATGATATTTGACAAAGAACTTGCAAAATTATCTTTACCACTGGAACTTGTTTTGTTCCCAGGAGAAAACTTGGAATTTGTGACAAAAACCAACGCCATAAAGTTGTTCGAAGCTACAACTGATGGAGGATTTGCAGAGTATGGTGGGAAACCTTATGAAAACTATAGCTTAATCGATGTCGAGACTGAAGTAAGAAGTATGGTTTTAGCTTTGTTTTGTTGTTGGTTATATTTTTATGATTAACTTTTATTTACTTTTTCGGGATTTTTTTTCACAACTAACAGTCAATCGTTGTGATAACCAACTATCGAACGTGCTATCAACCTATAAAGATTTCTTCGACTCACAATTCATCTCTATTATATTCGCAAAATTTGACATGTGTGCCTCTCATTCATATCCCACATCTTACTATCAATCATATTGATACTTCTTCAATGCAAATAACCATATCGCTGAAATTCTCAGCCTCAAAATATCTTTTTAAATTTTCGAAACCGAAGCCTTCAGCTGCCTCTGGTAATTTCATAAATATTCGATCCACGGCGATATCATTATGTGAAGAATTTACCACTATCTTGAGACGGTTCGCGTGTCCAAGTAGTGTGGAGAACGTGTTTGCATTTAAGATGGGTGAGGAGGTAATCCGTCAAACTTCTAATAAAGTTACTGAGGTCAGAAATGTAATAACGAAAGAGTCAAAGTGTCGTAAATTTGAAGAACAGATCTTCGATGAGTTATTTGGTGAGAATAGTAGTTCGGATGAAACAGATGATGAGGTTGAATCAAAAGGAATTGATGAAAGTGTATATAAAAGGTCACAAATACTTGGTTGGTCAAAGGGATATCGTATTCAAAAAGAATTCGAACGTATGAGCATGAATCTCGAGTCTTGGTAATTATAAATTTATTATACTTATATATAATTAATTATTAGGTTATATATTCATATATTTTCATAATTAGGTGTATTGCATCAGTCAATGATGACTTCACATTATCACCGACTTACCCTCAAGATTTCATATTACCTTCAAAAATCTTAAAAACGTCTTCAGTTGATTCGGACTCTTCACAAAGTCCATCATATCCTGGAACATCAGTAGCATCTCAGCCAACTTCGATTTTCTTTCGTAATCTCGCACGATTTCGTTCGCGTGCTCGTTTTCCAGTTATTTGTTGGAAGAAAGGACTTCATGTATTAATGCGCAGCGGACAACCGATGACAGGGTTTCTTGGATCACGGGGATTTGAGGATGAGTTATTAATTCGCGAAGTTATTAGAGCTGTCAATGATGAACAGAGCAATATTATTGCTGCATCTAAACTAAATAGCCAAGAAAAGGGAAAGATACCATACGGTCAAATACCAAAGATGTCAGGGAAACAATGTAATTCAAAAGTCTCCATGAAAATATGTATCTTGGATGCAAGAGGGTATGCAGCTGCTTTATCAAATGGATGTGGTGGTGGTGGATATGAAAATGCAGGTAAGTCATATAATCAATGCTTCTTATTTACTCTATTATCATTTTGACGTTTTCTTCATTGCAACAGAAAATTATCCGACAAATACATCTTTAAGCTTTCTCGGTCTCTCTAATATTCACGCAATTTCCTCTTCACACGATGCGTTATTACGTGCGATCTCTGCCAATTCGACTTCGTCCAATTGGTATTCTGGATTAGAATCGACCGGATGGTTTACTCATGTTACAGAATTACTAAAAGCTGCTGGAGGACCTGATGGTGTTATTGGGAAAATTATTGATGAGGATGCGAGTGTATTAGTTGTAAGTCTCAGTTTATTATATATCGATTACATTACGCCTGTTAATTATTAATTGAAAATCTCATACTCGATTAATAGCATTGCACAGATGGCTGGGATAGGTATTTACTTAATATTTCTTTTTTATTCAAGTTCTAAAATGTGCAAGATTGATATTTTTATTTGTCTTATAGGACCACACAATTGGTATCGTTAGCTCAGATAATGTTGGATCCATTTTATCGTACAATAAAGGTACCATAATCTAAACCTACGTTTTTGTATTGTCAAATGGTTCTGATGGTTGAAAATTTTTGCATAACTTAGGGGCTGCAAGTTTTAATTGAAAAAGAATGGATTGCATTTGGACATCCATTTCGAGCGCGTGGTGACCTCCCAAACACTTTGTTAAGTAGCGACCCACGAAAACATAATTCAAATAACTCATCATCTGGTATCGGTATACAAGAACCAGCAAATATACAAAGTGCACCTGCGCCTGTTTTCCTCCTATTTCTTACATGCGTCCACCTGATAGTAAAACAATTTCCTTCGGCGTTCGAATACAATGATTTCTTATTGTTGTGTCTCGCACGTGCAGGTGCAGGAAATTCTCCATTTGGTGATTTTCTGTGTAATTCAGAATGCGAGCGCGATTATCTTCGTCTACGCGAAAGAACCACAAGTATATGGGGATGGGTAAAGGAACGAAAACAGTGGTTCCGAAATGCAGGATATCAGCGACCACGAAAAGAAGATAAAACTCGCTATCATAAGGATGGAACTATAAATCACAATTCATGGAAGAAAATGGTCCTGCGTCCTGATACTGATGCTAGAATGATTACACTATGGACAGAATATTATTTCCCAAAGGATGATTTTTCAATACCATTATTATGCACGCCCATCGGTGCAGATTTTATTGTGCCACCCGAAATGAACATGCCTGTTCATCATTCTTATCAAGTTGGTGGACTTCCATCAGAATATTATTTTGTAAGTTTATTTGTGAAGAGGAGACGACAGAGGATTATCAAAAAGGCTTGGTGTGCATGGAGAAATTTAGTTTTGGAGAAGAAAAGAAAAAGACAGCAGCAACTAAATCATATTGCACTAGATGATCAAGCACGAAAATGCGAAAAGAAATCAAAAATTCTTCGACAGGAAGACAAAGACGATAAATGGGACATAGAAGAAATGGTAATGGCAGGTGAAGAGGGTGATGGAAACAACGAAACCGATTCTCGTCCGTCTAAATTACCTTGCAATATGAAAGAGATCGATGACTCGCGGGTATTTTTAGTGGTAAAAACTTCTGCGGATAAAAATAATGGACTAGTAGGTGGGGGCGTTCGACCGCAAAGAAAATCTTCAACTGACTCTACGTCTACATTGTCAACTTCAGGAAGAAGATCTCAAAGTTCGAATAGTGAAAATTCGTCGTTAAGTGATGATTATGATGATTACGATAACCACCAAGAAAATAAAGAAAGAGCGTTGATATTTGGAGGAGATGCAGAGCAATATGAAACAAATTTTGCTGTTAGAGAACTTTATGATAGTCATTTACATGAATGGCTTGAATTATCACGGCAAAGTGATGATGATATAACACCTGAGATAAATGGATTGAATGATGATGATATTGCGGATCTACTGAGAGAAGCGCAAATGGACAGCGATAATTCTTTAGGGGGGGTTAATAAAAACACCATTGAAGAATTATTAATGGAAGCTCAGACAGATACAAGCCCAGTAATGAATATACGCAGTCATGACATTGATAGCACCACAAAAATGACATTATGTCTGGATGGTATTCATGATTCGAATTGCAATCACAATACAATTTGCAATACTTTTAACAAACACAACAGCACTGCCATCAACAAAAGATCCAGTCCTCTATCTTCAACCACCAACACCACAAAAGTCACCGATCTAAAAACAAATACCACCACCACCACATCGAAATTGTTTCCAAATTCCTCATTAAAACCAACACTACCATCATCACGAAAGTATGTCGATGTAAGTGAATTTTCCTCGGGATTCGAACGACCAATTAAAAAATCATCGAGCCGTAGCGGTGTTAATCTCAGTACACGAAATAGTATGCAAGATTTGTGCGAGTTTGTATTCGTAGAAAAAGTATGAAAAATATTAAATTATTAGAAAATGGCAATTTTATCTTATCTCCCTATACATATGTAAAGTTATTGTTAGCATTTTCATCATCATCCTTAACCATCAATTTTCAGCACGGCAAAAAAAATGATTAAATGTATTTATTTTTTTTAATGGATTAGTGACGAGTTTAGTGGAAGTTTTTTGGATTTAGAAGGTGAAATCAATATCAAAAGTATATACATATATATTATTATTACTAAAACTATTATATTTTCTGTATTTTTATAACAAAAGACTTTATTCCTCCCCACCCTACAAAAATAAATTTATATCAATACTATTACTTAATTCTCGTGCTCTGATTCCACCTGGTCGTGGTACCACCAAAGGGGTGAATTTTACGAATCTAAGCATCCAATTTCATAAATCAAATTATACATCATTCATGTTTTCATACATCACATTTCATGTTTGTTTGATTTTTAGGATTCTCTTTGGATAGTCGATTGTAGTAACATCAATGCTGTCAAAGGAAGGTATCCATTTATTTGTATTTGTTCCGGTTAATTCTTGTTTTTTTTGGTGTTTGTTTATATGAATATCCAAATTTATTCTCATTTTAGTCACGATGTTATATACTACCATTGTAATTTTCGGAATGTGAATTCTTATTGTAATTATCTAAATTGAAAAGTTGTTTTCATTCACACAATTAGGAATTTTTCATTGCCAGTCTGATACCCAGCTGACAAACGCAAAGATCTCTTTTTATATCTATATCTGGAAGAGGGCTTCTCGTTCTATTATTATTCATGTATGGATAAAGAATAATAATGTATATGCCAAACTAAGTATGGGCAACGTGTTTCGGTATTATTACAAAGTGCATATTATGCACGTTTTGAAGTTTAATTTATCGTTATTGGGACCATAATTTTTAGTAACACAATAGTGGTGATACAAGAAAAAACTTTGCTGCAAATAACTAGTTATTATTATACTTAAATTCTATTGGTTGAAAATGATTATGTCATAAATTACCAGGCTCTAATCATTTTTGCCGTCCGACGTAATTCTAAGCAAGCATACGCGATAGTCAGGGAGAGGGAAAAAGCGTCAACGCAACTCTATTTGTTTTTTGAATAGATTGTGTTTTATTTGTTGGTGAATATTCTATTTGTTGGTGAATATTATTACTTTAATTGATTGATCGATATGATGAAATAAATTCTGCTGATTACTCGTGCCATTATACATACCATTGAAATCGTCGGTACTCTTAGACAACGAAATTGTAAATATTATATAATAAGAAGAGAGGGGAAAAGAGGGGGAAGGAAACATTTCTCCAAGTTTTATTTCATTCATTCATTTATTTGCTTTGTCATGCATCTGTTCCCGTTTTCCTCTTTATATTAACTCTTCCCATCCTACTGGTACATTAATTTAAATATCTATAAATAATTATCTCTTTCTATACTATGAATGACAGACAATCAATCAATCAATCAATCAATCAATCCTCAACATTATTATCATCAGCATCGGTAATTCCATCAACAAAGCTCTTTTCAGTTTTCGAGATTCGTTTTTTAACTGTAGTACCTTTCTTAGTAGTCTTTTTACTGACGCCTTTTCCAACGTTGTTCCTTTCTATCAATGTCGAGGTAGTGCTTGTTATTTTTGTAGCGTTTGCAAGGATAGGATATTTCAACAATACACTGCTGTCACTGCTGCTCATGATAACACCCTTACGACTCTTGACATATTCGAGATACTCGGCATAAGTAATTGTATACTTCGCGCTTTGATATCGTCTGAGTATTATCTGTTGACGAACACGATCCGTGATTCGTCCGGTGAATCCGCCTTTACGAAGAAGTGAATCGATGGTCTCGACTTTGCTCCAGCCTTTTAACGCAATGTACGTTGTTCATTTTTTAGTAATTCGAGTTTATGTCTGGTTCACGCAAACGCAAAAATAGATATTCGTTGAGTTTTCCTTTCATTCCTTCTTTGTTTTTTTTTTTACCTTGCTCTTCAGCAATTTCAGGTAGATAAGTAGCAGTTTTACGACGATTATGGTCATCGACGAATTCGATCCAAATTCCATGTACTCCAGCCTAATACAAAAATAAATTTTATTGCACCCAATCCAAACTTTTATCCATCTTTATATACATATGATACTTACTTCCCAATCAAGATAATCTTCGGCATCTTCGAAATCAGTTAGAAGAGAAACGCTAAAAATAAATCATCGGTAATTGTTATATTAGTAAGAAAACAGATAATAATGGAAGTTAAGAAACAAATATATGAATCAACTGACGCGCATTCCAGATGAGTTAATTCGCGGATGGTGATTGGTGAAAATCTTCTATCATGAAATGCGCTAAATAAAAAAAAAAAAAACAGTCAAAGCAAGAAAAAAATGTTTAGATTCCAAAAGAATAAAACTAAATGCTTCGGATCAAACATGAGTAATAAAAAGAACGAATGGATCAGTGTTAAAAAAATAATATACCTGGTGATCGCGTACTCCTTCAACCCAGAATGAAGTGGCAAAGCATCAAAGTTTCCGATACAACCACGAAGACGTGTATTATCGTGATTGTTGATATTCCAAGTGACAAATAAAGGACTATTTCATTGTTTCGAATAAAAATTTAATGGAATTTTATATCTTTCCCCGCACCCTCGAAGAAATAACACATACAAAGCCATATTCTCAAATTCAGGCTCCAGATGCTTTCTCTTTTCGAATTCAGCAACCAAGACATCGAAACAGTAGACACAATGCTCGATTCCTGCAGCCATACTTCCTCTTTTTCTCCGTTATTTTTCAAATAACAATAAAGGAAATAAAAGTGAGGTTTGTTAAGGAGAGGGTGGTTGGACAAGTAGTAAATGTGAGTATTTCTAACTGGTATTATAATTAAGAATATAGTTATCTTTATTAGGATTACTTTTAAAGAAAGGTAAGGAAAAGGCAAAGGTAGTTCCGAGTCTAAGGTTTGACCTTAGCCTTAACCTTTTTTTATTATTAAAGAGCGGACCGCAGTTCGCTGTCCGGGATAGTCGTTCAATGATTAAATATCGATATGAATCGGGATATGCATAATTTAAAAAAATGATCTCTGTATTACATTTTTAGATATATTTTTTTTATGTAGTGTACGTACGAATTTCGCATTATAAACTAAAAATGATTCTTTAATTCTCTCAGCTCTGAAATAATTTCTACCAGATCTTCTTTCTGAGCGGCTTTTTTGATCGCATCACTGTCAAGACGCATAAATGGATTAAACTTCTTCTCATCCCCAATAGTGCTAGGCACCGTAACAATCAATCTATCACTAATACTACCAAAACCACCATTCTTCACCCATGATATTTTATCTTTTAATGCTTGATTATCGGGATCAACAGAAGTGGCAAATCGTAGATTGGATTCCGTGTATTCATGTCCACAGTATACTTTCGTTTCGGGTGGTAGAGAGCCTAGAATGTGATTGAGTGAGGTGTGCATCTCTTGTCCTGTTCCTTCAAAGAACCTTCCGCAGCCTCCGATGAAAAGGGTGTCACCTGGATTTTTTGTAAATTTTAGTATTATTAATGATCGAAATAACTAAATTTGGAGAAAAAATACACAGTTTTTTTTACCCGTGAAAACGGCTTTATCATTATCATTGCTAGCATCCGTCAAGTAATAACTAATACTGCCAGTAGTGTGACATGGAGTATGCAACGCTTTGACATTTATATCATTTCCAATCTTGAATTCTTGTTCGTGCGTTAGTTTGTCGGTGATTTCAGGGATTCGATCATCACCTCCATAAACTTTTACGCCTGATTGTTGTCTGACAAAGTCCCCGTTACCTCCTGAATGATCCTAAATTCAAATGGATAACTTGTTTTATTTTCAATGTTAATAATTATTATAAGGATGAATCTGAGTATGATAATAATTTTTTACCTGATGATGATGTGTGGTAAGCAAGTGTTTGATGGTTACGCCTTCCGCCTTTGATACTTCAAGTACCTTGCTTGGTTCTACTGGATCAACGACAGCAGCTAATTTAATCAATCAAACATATTTATTAGTGATTATTTTTATCGTGAATCGTTGTCTCGAAGCAATTTATTACCTTCTTTCGTTACGTCGTCAACAATCAAATACGAGTAATTATCTTCGAGAACTTTTCACATGTGTATTAATTAATATCAGTTCTCTCTTGCAAGTGATCCTCTGAAATCATGCATTTCACTTTCAATTGATAGCTAAATAGGTACCTGGAATCGGAATTATTTTCATGTCGAAATTTGGTGTAGACTAATAATGATAAAGAAGTTTGTTGAATTTCAGGCGATTGAAAAAGCGTGACCAAGAAATCTTCTTAGTTTGACCTGATGTAATTTCCTTTTAGGGGAAATATTTTTACTACCACACCCAATTGAACGTGTTAACGAAAAAGATTTGAGCATGATTTTTGGGCTGAACATTAGATCGCATCTGTATTTATTCGTTTATTCATTCATTTGTTGATTCATCAACGTATCGTAATTTGCCACAAAGAGGCAGTCTACTACAAAAAGGGGATGGTTTATGTGGCAAATTACGGTAATCTTGTCAATGATATCTCTTATTGCACATTTGGAATGTGTGCCAGGTTCGTGCCGCAGTCCAAATGAGCCCATGTTAGTTTAACTTCTCACTCGTTAGATATTTATTATCTTTAGCTTTTTCTTTTAACTTGAACTTCGCATGGCTAATTATTTACGTGTGCATAAAAGAGCACAACCAAATTGTGTTCTACCATATTTTTAAAATACCAAGTTTTTATATATTAAAGGCTGTTCCTTTATAGAGGGTTCTTGGAAGCTACAATTTTAGCCAATGAGAATGAAGATGGGTTTTTATAGTCAATGAGAATGAAGATGGGTTTTTATAGTCATTAAACGCGTGTTAAGAACAATTGACGCGACTAGAATAAGAGAACACATCTGGAATGTGTGCCAGATTCGTGCCGCAGCAATAAAATTACCCAAAAGTTGATATATATAGTTATCAAGGTTATATGTAAAATTGCCTCATTGACATTTTTTATTAGTACTCCAAGTTAGATTTGAACATCCATTTCCCGTATTTTTCGCATTTTGCGTCAGATTGTTTTGCCGGCTGATCAAAATTCGCACATCCTTGTTGGTCTGTGCCACCAGTAAATCGCATTCTTATTGGAAAATCCAAATGAAGATATATATAATCAGTTCATTTAGACATTACGGCAATAAATTTACTATTGATCATTAATTATTTGTCTATTATACCTCGGAAATTTTATGCTACGAGAAGAATAAAGATTTCCCGTTGCTTTAAATCCGTATTTGCATAAATGAATGCTCTTAATAGTCGGTATCGGTATTTACTGTTTCCGCATACAATTAAAAAGCCGGCATCATTGTTTTCTTTGTGTGACTTTAAAGATCGGATATTAATCTTTGTAAAGAAAATAAAGATATCGATATTTGTATTACAAGATGGAATTCAAAGTTCAAAATAGGAAACCTATTATAATTACATCTCTACAAAAAATATTCTTTATAAATACACTATTCTTTCATTCATTACTTTTAATTTTCGCTTTTCCAGGTATTCACGCACTTTATTCCCTCCCAATTCTATAATTCCCAACTCTTCTTCCCTAAAAGAAAAAAAATGAGTACAGCGATTGCACTCCAACAGCAACAAAAAGACCCCAAATCTGGCCATGTTGGTAATTTGACATCTGATCAAGAAGAGCTCTTGAAAAAGTTTTGGACGCAACTATTTGAAATATTTCGTAGAGAAACGCCTTCAGCTTCTAATGATGTAGAGGGCAATAGTGAAATGCTGAACAATGAATTTACCGACTCTTTACACAACAACAAAAAATCAACGAGAATTAGTACTTTTCTACGTGGTAATAATAGTAATAAGAAACCCATGAACTCGGAAGGTGGAGTAAGTGGTGATGCGGAGATAGTAGCCAAGACGAAAGCCACTCAAAAACCGACAAAAGTCAAAAAATCGAAGGATGATGACAAATACAATGAGTCAGAGGAACTCCTTGCCGCGCTGGAATTATTCACTCCACAACAAATCCGAAGTGAATCGTGGAGACTTAATGCGGCCGATGATCCGGATTTAATCTCACTTCGATTTCTTCGTGCACGTAAATGGGATGTGAATAAAGCATTAGCGATGATGGTGTCGACATTGAAGTGGGGTCTTCAGACAGATGTGACAAGCATCGTGCGGGGTGGCGAGTCTGGATTAGAACAGTATTTTACTGAAAAAAATGTCACCGGATCTCGTGTTCAATTGGAAAGTGGAAAAAGTTTTTGTCGAGGATTCGATAAAGAAGGAAGACCGATTTGGTATGTATATTAATTGCTGTGATTGAATTTATTTTTTATTTAATTGAATTTATTTGTATATTTAGTTATATAAATGTGCGATATCACAAAAAGGATGAACAGAACCAGGAGGTGTTGCAACGCTTTACCATCTGGGTGATGGAGACATGTCGATTAATGATTATTGCACCTGTCGAGACTGCATGTATCGTTTTCGATATGACAGATTTCAGTCTGGCAAATGTGGCAAGTATTTAAAATTATATGTCGACTTGATTAAATAATTTAATGTTAATTTATAATAAATGTTAGGATCTACAATATGTGAAATTTATGATCCAATGCTTTGAAGCATACTATCCTGAAAGTCTTGGAATCTGCATTGTGCATAAAGCACCATGGGTATTTCAGGGTGTCTGGAAAATCATATCACCACTATTAGATCCAGTTGTCGCCTCAAAAATACGATTCACCAGCAACGACAAAGACTTATTAGAATATATTCCAGCAAAAAATCTAATCGCAAGTCTTGGCGGTGAAGACCCATGGGAATATACTTACGTCCCACCACACGAAGGAGAAAATGATCGTATGAAGGATGAGAAAACGAAACAAGAGAAGCTACGCATTCGTCGAGAATTAGAAATTAAATTCGAGGAATTAACACAGAATTGGATCGCCGATTCTTCAAATGAACAAATAAAGAGGGAACGAGATGAATTAAAAAGAAGGCTTCGGCAAGCTCAGTTGGAGCTGGATCCTTACATTCGTGCTCGTACTTATTATCATCGAACTGGCGTCTTGCGTGAGGATGGATCGTGTATTTGGAAATAATTGAATTGATTCCTTCTTTTCTGTTCATTAATTTATTTCATTTTATCAAATATAAATAGAACAATTTTCTCCTCATTAATTCATAATAATGTTTTGTTTAGTTGTTATAGTTAACGGAATGAATATACAGAAAACTTTGATCCGAATTTTTCCATATTTATAAAAAAGAGGGATAAGAATTTACAAAGGAATTATTTATTTGAAAGAGAAAAAAAAATAAAGAAAATAGATACAATAGTGAGTCGTTCAATACTAAATTATTTTAAATTTCTCGATTTTTTCACGATGCACACACTTAAAATAGAATCGAAAATATATTTCAACAGGGAAATGCCAATCTTGATCAATATTAAAAAGCCTAATATAATGATGAACAATAACAAGTATTCATACTTTCTCAAAAAAAAAAAAAAGGGAGAGATGAATTTCTTTAGTCTCTTGTAGGAAAAAAAAATAGTCTTTGAATGCAGCAACAAAACGTTAATGAATATATCAATTAATCAATCATTTAATTATTGCTGAATAATTTCTGATCGAACACGATCGTCTTTTTCTCTGATATACTGTCGCAACAAATCCTCCAGTTTGTTATCCTGTTGATCTAATGCAATTTGCGTGGCTTTTCTCGCCAATTCCCAAATCCATAATTTTGCCGCGTCATTGTCAACACTTTTCTCGGTGCCTCCTTTGATTCTTTGAACTGCGTTAGCGACATCACGTGCAGGCAATTGATGATTTGGATATTTTGCTTTTAATAGTTGACGTTGTGTAGTGACGCCGAGATTGCCATGACGTGTATAGAATTCTATATCTTCGAGTACCGCTTTGGGTAAAGTTCGATTTTTTGCGGTTGACGCTGCTTCCACTACACTTCGATATCTTGGTGACGTATTATGAGTAGCGTGATTGTAACTTAGATTATCAGCGTTGCTGCTGTTATTGATGATATTATTGATGTTATTTGATATCGTTGATGCGTTGTTTATTGTGGGTGTCGCCGTTGTTACTATTTGATACTTTGTATCGTGAGGTATATTGGATGTGTTATTATTAGTAGATGAAGATGAAGATGATGTTGATGATATTAAAGTCGTAATGGAATTGCCGCTATTAAGAGAACGATGAAGGTAGTGGAGCTCATGATTATGTTCATTAACAAATGTAGTAACGGTTATATGTGCACTAGTTTTAGGATAAGAGAGATTGATATGCCAATTGCATTGAATACGTTTCGAAGTTCGATTACGTTGTTCATGAAGTGCCGCCTTCTTTTTTGGTGTATATCTTCCTCCATGCTCACAGTCATACGTTCGTTTTCGCACAATTCCTAGTTCATCACGTTCAACCCGTTTCTTCCTTACCACAAATCCTTGTTCACGTCCATACTGATCAAGAAATTCATCCACATTTTCCCAATTTTGAAAAATTGAGCCGACTGCAAGCTGTATACTCACCGGAGGAACGAGTGTTTGTGTTTGTTGGTGCTGTTGGACCGACGATTCAGCCTCTACTATTGCTATGTTGCCTGACGTGAAGGGATTAGTGTTGACGGGATTTTGTTGGTGTTGAGTAGGAATATTCAGTAATTGTGTGACATGGGGATTTCCGTCGAAATTCATTTTTTCTTATCATGCACACGTTCGCTTTTAATGTTCTTGGTTTATTTATTGCTCTTGCATGTGCACGCTTTACGCTTTAGTAGCCACTCTTTAATTCGCTATTAAATCAATATATTTTCCGGCTTTTATTATCACAACATACCTCTTGATAACTATTATTCAAAACATTCCGTATATTCGAATTTAATAAAAATCAATCACATGATCGAAGAAAATACGTAAAATAATGTTACGTAAATCATAAAATTCTGATCCGAGGAAAAAGTTTTACCTCCCCGTTTTTTTGGTCAAAAGGAAACAGCAGTCTTTGAATCTTTCTGGTTGTCACAAAAAGAATTCTTTCAGCATGATTATTTACAAAGATGTCATAAACGGTAAGTTTTACGAGGGCTCTTTTCGAGATGGTTTTTCTTTACGAGAGAAATATTCTCTATTTTACAGGGGAGGAATTAGTCTCTGACGCTTACAGAGTTAAAGAAGTCGATGACATTGCTTACGAAGTTGATGGCAAGGTAAAAATTTACTTTTGTTCATACTTGAACATAAATTGAGGAAATATTTCTTTTCATGTCTTGAAGATGATGACAAATTAATTTCCTCGATATGATCCAATAGCTTGTCACAGTCAAAGCCGGCGCAGACGTCGATATCGGTGCAAATCCGTCAGCAGAAGAGCAAGAAGAAGCTCTCGAAGAAGGATCATCCCAAGTTATTGACATAGTTCACGCATTCCGTCTCCAAGCAGCTTCCTTTGATAAGAAGTCTTACATGAGCTATATCAAAGCTTATCTGAAAAAAGTCAAGGAACATCTTTCAAATACTAATCCGGATCGAGTACCGGTTTTTGAGAAACAAGTGGCTGCTTTCGTTAAAAAGGTTATTGGCGCCATTGGAGGTGTGTTGTCTGTTTGTTGTTAAGCTACTGCTTACATTTTTAGAGGTTCCAATGCAATAATCTTTTGTTATTTTTATTAGATTATGAATTTTATGTTCCTCCAGGTTTTTATAATAGTGAGGTAGAGGGAATGGTCATATTGTTGAACTATCGTGAAGATGGTATGACCCCTTATTTCACATTCCTCAAAGATGGACTCAAGGAAGAAAAAGTGGTATGTCATCGTATTTTGATTTGACCAAACTATATTTTTAACTTTGTGCTTAATTGCACATCTTCTATTGCAAATCATTGGTAATCTCACATCTACTATTTCAAATCACTAGTAATACCAAAATCATAACAACAACCGTCACCATAAATATTTATTGAAGTGAATTTTTTGCTTTTTAATACTGCGTGTATACACTTTATTATTATTATTATTTCGTTTGATTAGATGAATATATAAAATGCATTATTATTAATTAATCCAATTACCAAAAGAAAATTTTTTTTTAACAATTATTATTATAATTGCTTGCAATATAATTCAACAAATACGGAAAATAATCTAGTTTTAAAGTTCATCCATCATTCTTCTGCCATTGATGTGGTGAAGCGAAAACTATAAACAAAAAGACAATTATTTTCCAAGATAAAAATCTAGACAACATCTCTAATCACTAGCGTTATATAGTTTTTGCTGGTGTCTCGTTCATTGTCAAACATACATTTATTTCAAGTATAATAAAATTCGAATATCAAATAAGAAATTAAAATATACATTAATCTTTATTTATCAAATAATGTTCGAAGAGTGGTCCTCTACCACGATTACGAATACTCCCTTTTCTCCAATTTTCTAAGCATCGATTTCAAACTCTTGCCGTTCCTTTCACAATTCATAACAAGATATCCTTCAAGTTCTCGACGAACATCTCGCAATTCATTAGTTATTGGTAGTTGACCATCGAGACGAACATACGAAGGATTCAATAGCATATCAAACATTCGTCGCCAAAGATCTTGCCAATACCGTTTAAATGGAAGTAATGGCATATATCGTTTTCTTGAAAAGTTTTCATCAATACATGTAGTTTGTATGAATTTGTGATGCAACATACAATATATAATTCCAGCGAGACCATAATAATCAGCATGCCATTTCCATGGCTTGCCGACTCGCATCTCGTAACAATCTTGCTCGTTAGTTTCCCAATCACATATAAACTTTGTCTCTTCGGAAAACAAAGTTAAATCAATAGCCCTCCCGAAATCGATCACCTTTACACCTTTCTTAGACCATCCATTTGACCCAGTCGGAGAATATTGTGAATTCCATTCTTCTGTCGGTTCTAATCGAACGAGTAAATTGTCCGCCTTCAAATCGCCATGCATTATGCCAGCTGTGTGCATCGCTTCAATTGCTTTAAGCAACTCCACCGTAAAGAAACCCACTAGCAGTTCATCCATCGTGGTGTTTTCCTTTGTTACCGTATTCACCACATCTATAATTGTACCATGTTCAAGATATTCCATTACCATGTAACTTTCATCTTTAAATAAATAAAGGGAATAAGCTGAAATAAACGAATTGATTGTGGCTGCAGAAACACGTTTATGTAATTGATGAAGGATATAAAATTCCCATGCGTCTGGAGGTCTTTGTAATTTTAATGCTCGAAAGGCTGGTTTGTTGTTGCAATTGGAACTCTGATGGATTTCATTTCCGATAGGTTTATTAAGACTCTTTTTGTCGATCATGCAATAAACTTTTGCAAATCCACCTTCTCCAAGCTTTTGTCGAATTTCGAATGCATCACCAAGTAGGTTTAAAGTGTAGTCTGAATCTATCATCGTACTGTTGCGTCTTCGACTATTATTTATCCAATTCGTAGCGCAATTATTTACTTTTTCGGATCCATTAAATTCCAATGACTTATGGTCATAAAATCCATTATAACTGCTTAATGGTGGATTAAGTTCTGAAAAAAAATTGTTACGAATTTCGGGATCCATTGGATTACATAAATTTCCGGGTAAAGAGTTAAACGCCTGAAAGTGTAATATGGGTTGTTCTGATTTTGAAGATAACGGAATAACTTGTTTTGGAGTTTTATGTCCAAAAGTGTCATTGATTTCACCAGTACTCTCATTAGACTCTAATTCAATATATAAACAATCTCTTTAATTAGCAAGATGAATAATCGTGCAAAAGGACCATCTATATTATCTATCATTAAAAATACTCACCAGTAATCCTCAACGATGCTATTGAAGAAAGACTAGCTTTTCCAGATTCATATTCCGAATTGCGTTCGTCGATTGGTGTCAATATTTCGAATGGAACAGTCCGTATATCTCCTCGATTATTCGAATATTGATTACGTAAAGTAAGCGAATTTTGTCCTTCACATAATTTATTGTCAAGCTCATCATCTAAACTTTGTGAATTCTCGAGATCGGTTTCTTTATGAACGCAGTCCAAAGGAAACAGAATCCCTAAGGCTTGTCTTTTAGCGGATGTCTGACTATTAAATGAATTTTCAAAAAGATCGAAATTTTCGTCGTGTGATTCTTTTCGCTTCTGGCCGGCAAAAATTCCACTGGTGTTATATGATGAAGTTGGAGTTCGCAAAAGAGAATTCTCATCAAAGAATATTTTCGGTTTATTTTCACGTTTAGTTCTTGAAGAAGAACCATAGTCACCATTTTCATCATCGCTGTGTTCGTGTATGAGCGGTTGACTGAATATTTCGTATATATCCGCTAAAGCTTCTTTCGTATTTATCGTTGGGGAGGGTCGATTTGTTTCTTTAATTTTGAAGTAAAAATTATTTTTATGATAATGTTGATTAATTAAAAGAATATTAATTCTATAAAATATTCTTACTTTCTGATTCATCAGTTGTTGCATCTTTTATTGGAGTTCCTTGACTGGTATTAGAAGTTGGATTTGTCTTCACATCCGTGTAGCACTCGGACGTTTTTTCATCGATCGAATGCTCTTCTTTTTCGATATTTTTATCATCCCATCCCAAATACTTCTTTGCTCGGATCTCTTCAAAACAAAATTCTTCATCGCCGACGTAGAATTGACCAAGATTTATGAATAATTTTTCGGGTAATTGAGCATGGCTGGACTTAGCTTTACGAGTTTGCGAGGAGGATGAATGTTTTGCTAATGTATGCGATGAATTTGTCTCTCTCGTCGGTTTGTGCTCTTTTGATGAATCAGACTTATTCTCTGGTAGTTTTTTGAGATCTTCAATGGGACGCTTGGTTTCATTAAGTGATGAACGTTGTGGCTATATTCGAAATTGTGATAAAGATCAGCATAATTATGGTAAGAATTAGCTTATTTTTGTAAGAAATTTAAAACAACCTCATCATGATAAATTTCGAGCTTTTCAGCAGGGATTATTGAGCAATTCGATTTCTGAGGTAATGTTTCGCCTTTCCATTTTAAAGGATCATGAATATTTTCTTTCTTTCTAGATGCGTCTGTCCCATAATCTTTCCATTTATTTTCAGAAGCTGCTAAAGCTGCTGCCCCTTTTCGGCCATCAGGATCATAAAAAACAGGAAATTTACTCGTGCCGGGAAGACTTTCATCGATTGGGATTACAGGCTCTAACCTAAGAATGTTTGTTGCTTCACGACTACCAGTAGAAGTCTTTGCAAGCGTGACATTTAAAGGAGCAGACTTAGTAGCTGACGCAGAACCTTTGATTCCTAGAATTTTCCTCAGTGGATTGCCTAGTTCTTCAGAAGCTGTTTGAGCATTCTCATCTGGAATCGATGTCGCGGTCATCATTCTAATCTGAAAATCATTATAACGTCGATTCAACCTTTCAAGAGGTTGGGCATACCGTCTTATGCCCAATTTATATATCTCATCTGCTTCTTTATATCTTCATGAAAAATAAGAAAAAGGTTACAAGAACATACATGACCTTTAGACCATAAAATCAAAAGAAAAAAATAGCATAAAACTTACTTTTGAGACCCCTCCAATAGTGTGCCATATTCCTCGTAATAGACGGCATAATTCGATCCAATATTCTTATTTTCCAAAAAGACAAAAATTTCTCGTGGTTGTTCGACATATTTTGAGTACTGTATCCAATATTTTAAATACCTGGCATCATTATGATACCGAACATCATCTTGAAAAGACCTGGTAGCCGCCTCCAACAGTTGTATCAAATTAGATTCATGATTATGACCTTCCGGATAATTTTGTATTGTCCATTCAATATAACGACTATACACATCCAACGGGTCATCGAGTTCCTCAAGATTCTGTAGCTCTTGCGAAAATTTGTTGTGGCCTTCTTGAAGTTGCTCGTGACGTTTTGAAGGAGTTACAGAGAACATTTGTGAGAGTGCTGCCCCACTTCTACCTTGTTTTATTGAAATAATGTTTTCTTTTTGATCTTCAAAAGAGTAATTTGCAATGTTGGAGGACAATTTTACTTGCTCTGAGGTTAACTGAGCGGTTTGTTCGGTCTCCTCTGGCACTTGCATAGCTTGTTATTTGCGTTAATGAATGTACAATCTAATTAATGTTCTTGAACTGACAGCTAGAAATATGTAATTTTTCACGCGTACGCGTTTGTCAAACATCAGATGTGGACAAATCATATAATACTAATGGAATCACATGTTTTAGGAATTACATAGTTCCGCTTTAACCATGGCTGAACAAGAAGAAACTACTACGGGCAAAGAACGCATTATTCCTTTTGATTTATTGCCAGACGAAATATGGCTTCGCATTTTCTCAGAATTTTCTGTTTCAACTTTATGTCGTTGTCGTAGGGTTTCCAAAAAGTGGAACACTTTGTCGCATGATCAAAGCATCTGGCTATACCTTTGTAAAAGTATATTACCCGCTTCATTTATCGCAAAAATGAAGCCAACTCACCAAATTGAAGAGGAGGATAATAAAAATGATATTTTTGCTGCTGCCATTAACAAAAGGGACAAAAAACTAAGTAATAGTTTTAAGGATTGCACTAGTTGGGAAAGTATTTACCGTGTTTACTCTAGCACCCAACAAAATTGGGCCACCTCAACTGCTGTGCGTGTTACTTGCGTCAAAGCGCATGATCAAAGTATCAAAGTTTTAAAGCTAAAAGGTGATTTGGTGGTCACAGGAAGCAGCGATAATTATATGCGAGTTTGGAATGTACGCACAATGGAACGTCTCTTGGAAATTGACGTAGGTGCAGACATAAATTCTGTTGATTTTTTAGTGGAGAAGGACGTCATTGCGTGTGGATCTTATTACGGGTAATCTTTCTATATTGATACGCGTTTGTTTTGTTGAATATAATTTTAAATTACGATTTGATGACTTCAAAATTAAAGTGCATTTGGATGTAAATTCTTTTCTTTATCCCGCGGAAAACCCTTGAGTCAATTTATGGAAAATCATTGGGTTGGTACCCAATGTCTTATTATGAATGAGGATCATATTGTAGTAGGTTCACATAATGGCGATGTTTATGTTATCGCCTGGATGGAATGCAGAAAAGTCGCAGTGTTTCATGAACATCGTAATCCTGTAAGAATGCTTTTATATATTTATGGCTATTTCGTGATTCGAGATATTAACAATATAATGTATTCGTTAGGTGGCTGGAGTGTGTTTGATTGGTACAGATACGGTATTATCTGTATCTACTAACGGTACTATAGACACTTTTAGCATAAAACAACATACACGTCTACACCAATATTCTATATCTAATGGAATGTCTGTGTGTATATCGGCCTTTGATGAACTTGGCGATGGTAGAAATGTGATGTGTGTCTCACCAACGGGCACTATAGTTCACCTTCTTTGGCCAAACGATGAAACAACCGAAACTGTCGATTCATCATCACAATATTTTCAAAAAATAACAGATACTGAATCCATTCATCGTATATTCTCTCAGGACCCAATAATTCATTATAGTAACGACGAAATATCTAACAGAATATTATGTGCCGCGATTGACGGGACTTTTAATCGTGGCGTGATTGGACCATGTCTCGCGTGGCCACCAAGAGGTAGTATACAAATATATGATTTTGAAAAAGGTCTTGGGCGACTGGATGGGATTCAAAGTCCGAACGCTGAAGATGATGCACTTGCTAATTGCAACAGAGAACAAGGAGGCAGTGGATTGAATCCAGTTTTTACAGCTTTGGGAATGGACATTGAAAAAGTGGTTGCGGGATGTTCGCGTGGCTGGATTTATTGTTTTGAGCTTGTGGGCGAGGTAAACGAGCATAAAGAATTCACTAGAGAAAATCAATCCTCACAATCATCATCCCCGTTGTTGAAAGAAATATGGGAGGAGATTTATTAACTTGTTAAATTTAGACTTGTTTGGAATCTTCGCTATTAGTATATTTATTTATGCGTGTTAGAGCTGAATATGATTCCCCCGTATAATTTGTAATACTATATATTATATATTTAAAGAAACCAACGAATTTGAACATTATCGTTATAGTATTCCATATGAATTGACCGAAGAACAATTAACTGATATTTTTCAAGTGGGTTCTGTAATTTCATTCCGGTTAGGTATCATTTTGCTTGAATAATAATACCATTGATAAGACAAACTTGTAGGAAAAGGAGGAAGAAAACGTTAATTTTGCATTTCGATTTGAAACACAAATATGGTTAGAGAATATTCTAGTGAACTATTATTGTCGAAGATTACCGCACGTACCATTCTTACAGATCAAAGATTACACCTTGGTGGGGTCGATTTTTAATTCAAAATTCAATTTAATTATTCGATAAGATTTTTTACCGTTAGATATTTAAACCAGGAAGATTGACAAAATCAGTATTGAAGCAAGAAAATTCTGCTACGTTCCCCATCGGTATCATATTCCTAGCTGAATAGAAGCTTGCATTTGGAGGTGGTTGTACCATTTGCTGTAACGTTTGTTGATAATCTATCTTGATGTCCTCCAAATTTGACATCATTTATTGTGGGGGATCATGATGAAAAATGGATTATAATGAAAATTTGCAATATCTATTATAATAAACTATGAATAACAATTATAAATTTACATAATATATAGCAATAAAAATATTATTGCAAAATTATTTTCAAAATATTGCTCTTTTATTATAAGAAATTATCGACAATTCTGGCCAAATGATCTCATAATCTGCACAATTTTGGCCAAAATTTTCACCACAATCCATTTTTCATCATGATTTCCCACATTTATTAACGATCCGGATTGCTATATTTTTATTTCTTCGAGCAGGTTAACTAACTTGCAAAGAATTTCTCTATCAAATAGAAGACAAAGAAGGCTGGTCAGTTCAAGAATTCGGCACGAGAGTGTTTAAACTAAGCATAGTACACAAAGCTGTTTAAATAATGGATCTTTCGAGACTCGTCGAAATAAAATATTTAAAATATTTATATAAATTAACAAGTATTCATCGTAGAAGTTACATGTAACAATCGATCTGCGAAACCAACAAATAGACGTTCTATTTTTGTGAAAAGCGTCAAGTTCAAATTAAATTTTCTTGCACGTAATTCACAATTGTCATGTATTCCGCCATTGCTCCTACACCTATTTATCAAATTTTTATCAAATCATTATTAGATTAAAATTATAATCAAAAAAATTTAAAAATTAATTAAATTAGTAAAAATTCACCTAAATCACCACACGCCAATTTCTTACTTATCGGCGGGACAACAATATAACCCAACTCATCATCAAGTACTTTCAAATGTTTTGCGGTGAACGGGTGGTTCCACATGTTTGTATTCATCGCCGGACAAACGATTACTGGTCTAGTAGAATCCCATGCACGAAGAATGCATGTCTATGATATATAAATGATAAAAATTACAATTGAGGCTAAAAGAAATAGATCGAATCAAATTGATGGATGAAAGTTTTTACGATCAAGTTATCACATAAACCATTCGCGATCTTTGCTAATGTGTTTGCATCAAGAGGTGCCAGGATAAATACGTCTGCCCAGTTCCTTAGCTATTGTTATTATTATTATTATTATTATTATTATTATTATTATTATTATTATTATTATTATTATTATTATTATTAGTAGTAGTAGTAGTATTAGTATTATTATAGTGTTTAGTAACAAAAGATTGATTAGTGAAATATGGTCATCATTTCGTAAATAAAAAATCAAATAATATTTACTTCAATGTGTAATATTGGATCAGATATTTTATTCCAATCCTATTTGTCATGATAAATTAAGTTAATATAAGAATTTAATGTGTGGATTAATCTGTAAATTTGATACCTTCCATTCATCTTGATCCGTAAAAACTTGTACTCCAGTTTCCGAATTCAAAGTAATTGGATCAAAGAAATGTAATGCGTGTGTAGTGGCGCATACTTTTATTGATAGATTAGAATCAAGCTATTTGATTATTTAATTAATAATTTTTCGTTGAATAAGGAAAAGAAATTTAGGAATGATCGATGAATTACATGATATAATAATTATACCTCGAGTAAGGCTTTCGTTAAGAACGGTATTTTGATGCTGGCAACGCTTCCGGTCGCTCCGATAAGCAAGTTTTTAATTTTTCTCGTTTCTCGTTCTCTTGTATTCTTATTGTCCGTATGATTGATTATCGATAATAATTCTGCAGACATATTTTCTTTATTAGAAAGAAAAATGCTTACCGTTACATAGATAATAAATTGTTTAGATCATTGGCCAATGATATCAATGATTTTATACACTCCTCCTGAAATTTTGACTGATCCTTTTTTTTACCTTTTTTTTCTTGTTGTCAAACTGACAACTAATAATAGAGATACAAAATGGCAACTGAACGTACTTACATTATGGTCAAAGTGAGTTGTATATATATATATGAGAGAATGTATTACTCCACTTAGTATTCTTTATTGTGTCGATAAAACATGATTTAATGGATATCTTTACTCTGGAAATCCGTTTGTTTGTCAATCAGTCAGAAAGATATTGATGATTGTGTTTGATTTCTTTTTAATAATAGCCTGATGGTGTTGAGCGAGGTCTCGTTGGTGAGATTGTTAAGCGTTTCGAGAATAAAGGTTATCAAATGTTGGCTCTTCAAATGATTCAAGTATATTATTTTTTCTTAATAATAATCGATTTTTTCTAATATGACAATGAAACAGATATTTTATTAACGAAGTTTATTTATATTATTATAATTAGCCAACAAAAGCACTTTTGGAAGAACATTATACTGATCTCAAAGAAAAACCCTTTTTCCCGGGTCTTATTAAATGTATGCATTCTTTTGATCATTGAATTATTATTATTAGAAAATGAAAATCATTGATTGATTAATTGATCTGATAATATAGATATGTTAGCTGGACCTGTTGTTGGAATGGTATGGATCGGAAAAGATATTGTGAAAGTTGGTCGTCGTCTTCTTGGCGAGACGAACCCGCTTGCATCGAATCCTGGCACTATTCGTGGTGACTTTGGTATTGATGGTATGTGTGGGTTCTTTATGTGTATATGCGTGTTGGTCAACTATATTATCATATATTTATAATATATTCTCATATATCTGATGCCTAAATAGTCGGACGTAATATCTGCCATGGGTAAGTATGCATCTTGTTTTTTCAATATTTAATGATCAATCAATTAAATAACGATTATATTGTCTTCATAATAGTTCTGATAGTCCAGCTAATGCTGAAAGAGAAATTAGTTTATGGTTCCCTAATGGGGTGGTTCATTGGAATCGTGCTCACGTCCAGAATTTAATTTATGAATAAAAGAATAATGGATCAATAATTTAATTAATGTTAAACATAGTCTCAAGTAAATTTATTTATATTCTCATAATGGCCAAATAAATCCATGATCGTACCCGGGTCTAATTCAAAAAAACCGAGTAATCCCTGGGAAACTGATTATACAATAACGCGATTTGCGTAATTAGACAATTAAAGATAACACAATATCTTCATGATTTTTTTTGATGATTCGCATTCTTCTAAAAAAAATACTATAATCAATTACCATTGGTTATTAATTAGAAATTTTTAATTATAACTTTCAAATGTGAATTCAAGTGAAATAATTATCATTCAATTTGTTTTATTGAAAAAAATCAAATAATAGTTATTTTTATATATTTATAGATGATTTGTTAAATATTGCAATATTAAATAAGTACTAAAAAACAAATAATAATAAAAGTAATATATAATATAGTAACTAACAAAATTATAAAAATTAAACATACAATTTTATTAATAAAACATAATAAAAATGAAAGTTTTATCTTACATAAAGTTTTTAATTTTATTAATAAATATTTTTTATTTTTATAGTTTACCATATATTTTTCTGGATTTTTTAGATCCTAACTTAACAAAGTTATTTTAATTGCAAAAATTTTTTATAATTAAATTTATATTTTAATTATAAAAATTTTTTGTAATAATTTTGCAATTAGAACAATTTTATCAGAAAAAAATCTAAAAAATCCAGAAAAAATATATAACAAACTATAAATTATGATATTTGTTTTGATATAAAAATAAAAAATATTTATTAATAAAATTAGAAACTTTTTATACAAAACAAAAATTTCAATTTTTATTATGTTTTATTAATAAAATCGTATATATGATTCCATGATTTTGTTAATCACTATAATTTTAACAAAATATTTATGAATTAACTTATTAATGTTTATAAATTTTGAATATTTATATTTTGAAAATAATTTAAATTTTGCTAATTATATATTAAGAGAATTTTGTTTAGTATAATTTAAAAATTTAAAAATTCCAGACAAATTTGTCTGGAATACAAATTAAAAGATAATATTATTAAGAATTTCTGAAACATATTCATAATTTTTCTAAATTACAATTGATATTGGCCAGCTTTATACTTAACAAAGCCTAATGCATTCCAGCTTTATAATGTTACACATATATAAATTCAAAATTTCAGAATTTGTAGTCCGACAATACTTTTCGACCTGATATTTTCTATTAAGAATGCTATAGGCCAGTGTTGTGACATGGGACAGTGATGTTCACGTTTATTAGTATTAATATCACTTGTTAATTTCGACCAAGGGACTTTAGTGCTGGCCTATTGACTTGTACGTGTTAGACGTTCCATGGCGAACAGTGCGAGTCACGTGTAAATATACTAATCAGGTGATATCACCTGATAATGCATTCACAGGTTACACGTTCAATTAGAAGAGGTTTAATATAAGTCTTATAATAAATCAATATTAAAGCTTGTGCGATCAATACATTTTTCAGGCACTGGCCCGGAAAAGGTCGGCTTCCCGGCAAAAAATGGTGTCGGCTTGGTGCATGATTTTAAGGATGGGATCTGAATCACATGATCTGACGTTTGCCGTGGCTAGGGAACTAATTCACTACTATATACGCGTCACAATAAGATCGTGAGAAATTAGTTTCAGCTTCTCTAAATCATTACGAAAGAACTTAATGGATCGATTTTGTGCTTCAATTCTAAACGTAGCAACGACACAACTTATACAACAAGCAGGATTCAAGAAAACCTCACGTTTAGGTATTAATGTGCTTTCAGACGTGTTTGGTAATTACCTCGAACTACTAGCAAAAACCGCGAGCAATAATGCAATGCACGCTGGTCGATCCCAAATCAACGAGTTCGATGTTAAAACAACGTTTGATACCTTGAATATCAATATAAAAGAGTTGGAGGAATGGGTTGTGAACGAAAAGAGTGGTAAAAATCGTGGTTGGTGTGGTGCTGATCCTTCACCTCTTCTCAAAGGTACGTTTTAATGAAGAATGGAATATTTCTTTGAGATATTGAAACAATATTTGTTTATTTTTTGATAACTAATATTGACTTATTAGATTTACTTGCAACGGGCATTTCAAATGATTCGGCAGATAAACAAGTTTTGGAATTCAAAAATTTCGTTGAAACAATGGATACAAGTGAGAAAGAAGATAGTTATGAATACAAAGTTGAGGAAGAGTCAAGTAAAGAGATGAAACTTATGGCGAGTTCTTCGCACGTAAAAGAAAGTTCTCGACCATCGTATATACCCGATTTCTTGCCACCATTACCCGATGGTTATCTACCAAAAAAAGTAGAAATCGAATCAGAAACTAATTCTAACGCAGAAAAAGAATCAACACATACACATAATGCTCCTGCTGACAACAACAACAACAACAACAATAGCTCATCAAATTTAAAATTCGATGATTTACCACTATCACAAGTCCATGAAAAATTTCAAGACACGTTCAACTCATTTATGCAAAATGAATCACCATCAGTTAAACCACAACAAAATGAATCACCATCAGTTAAACCACAGCAAACTGAAACATCATCAGTTAAACCACAATTATCAAAGAAAACACGTAAAATGGAAGAGCTTTCATATTGTCACGTGACTACGGAAGAAACACTCTGCGCCAGTTCGAGTTATGGATTATTTGACGACTATACAGAAAATTCTATGCCTGAATTAAGTGATTCTGAGCTATCGCTATTTGTTCTCAAACCAATAACTAGTCAATATACAGTTGCTGCTGATCCCACCGATGAGATATCACATCGGATGATCAGAAAAGATAGGAAAATAGGCATTTCATATAATAATCTATCATGTCGACCTGATTTAATCATGCCAAGGCAAATTTCTTCAAGAACTTCAAGACGTGCTGTTCCAAAATTATTTATTTCTTATCAACCGTCAGCTACACGCATTGAGTCACAATCACTTTCTCCTGATGAGTCACCTTCGAATCGATCATCGCGAGTAAGAAAACGATCTAGAAAACTCGAAGAATCTGAAGAATTTACTACTCCAAACGTCAAAAAGGCGAAAACCGAAAAATCAGAAAATAATTTGGTGGTTTCTAAAAAGAAAGCAGTTATCACTAAAACTGCGAAACCTTCCAAAAACACGTCCACATCATCAGATTTATGTAAAAAATCATCTTCGACCAGAACTGCTAAAGCAACAGCGAAACAACAATTGCCGTCATCCACTCCAGACAATAAAACAGAATCATCGAATTCAGAAGAAGTAATTAATTGTATATGTGAATTTCCGGATAAAGATAATGGAAAATTCATGGTATCGTGCGACAACTGCTCCGTGTGGTTTCATGGAGAATGCGTAGAACTTGGGGATGAATTGACGAAGGTGGATAGTTGGATTTGTCAACGATGTGTTCCAGGAAATAACTAAAAATTTGCGTGGTTTTATTTGTTTAATGGCCTATTCGTTATTACTTGGTATCAATTTATTAGTTTCATCGAAAAGTTGATTTCAAACTGCATTTCTTTATAGGATGCGTCTAAATTACACTAGTGGTGTGTTAAACCACTGTTTTATTTTGCTAATCTTATCCCCGCACTAGCCCTTACCCTCACTCTAAACCCAGTCGTACCCCTATTTTAATTTGGTGTGCTTTGATAATTTTCTTCAATTATTTTAAAAATGAAAAAAATCAAATCTTTCTTCGTAAGCTTTTATAACAACGACTCTACGAGACTAAATAAACTAAGATAAATTTGCAAGAAGTTCTTGTGTGTTGTCATGATCTGCATGGTGTAGGTATAGTACAAAATTTCAACTCCGATCCTAGTTTTATTTGCCTAAACAACATGGACATATTATCATCATCATCATCAACTAATGACGAATCAACTATAACAGCGACCACATCTCCTTCACAAGACAATAGTAGTATTAATATCAATTACTCGAGCACAATTTCTTCCATTTCTTCTATCATAACAGATCAATTACCAAATAATCCATTAACAAATCTTGACCAATTTCTCGCAAGACGTACGTCATCGGCTTCTTCATTGTTCAGTACCGGGTCACAATCTACATTGGATATAAACGCTCAAGAACTTGTGTTAAAAGAAAAATCAAAAAAAGGTATACTTTTTGATTTCCGCAGAAATTCTTAAGTAATGGATTTTAAAGCGATTTTTGGATTTAATATGTAAAAAATAAATAGCATGTACAGACATAGAATTATACACCCGTCATCTCTTAAACGATTCCTCGTTGGGATTGTATCATATGAGCGAACATATTCGTAAAAAAGTTCCGCAATTTGTGGAAGAAAAAGTAAGTTATTTGCATAATTAATTGACTAAAGCCAATTGATTTTTTAATGAACAAATTTTTTTTTAATTTGGTTCAGAAAAATCTGATCACACTCTCGAACAAGTTAGACCTTGCAACAGCAAACATTACAGATTCCCGAGAAATAATAAAAAATATTTCGAACCTTGAACAATTTACCAATATTACAAATCTACTAAAACGTACTTTGGAAATAATCGAGAAAAAGTGATTAAATATTTCATCTTGAAGCGAAGAGATATCGAATAACAGAATAAAAGCCTCATTTCAAAATTGAAATTTTAAAAATTAAAAAAAAAGCAAAATATATAAAATACAATTAACATTAAAGTACATCAACAAGTACATCAACAATTGATATTAAAATACATCACAAATATATACAAAAATCTATTTTCATATTAAAAGTAAAATTATCTTAATAGAAAGAATATTTATTTTTTATTATTATTACTACCGTTATCGTTACCATTGTTATCATGATCATCTTTTTTATCGTCGTCAATATCAATTAATATTGCAACTTTATCTACTGCTTTTTGTTCTTCCCGAGCAGTGTTCGTATTCGACAAATTATTGTTTTCACTAGTATCAGCATCATATTCACTAATCATACTACTGTTGACACTATCCCCTTTTATAGACTCGGTAAATTGTACCATGCGTATTCGTTCACCCGCACGTTTCACATCCTCTACATCTCCTTCAATAACTGGTATATTACCACCTAAAATGTCAAGTACATCCCTCGCACTTCGAACATCCGGTAAACTTCGACGACGTAAAGATCCTGATTCGTAATTGATTGCACTAACTCTCCCCAATGGCCCTGGATTTGTTTTACGACGTCTTAATGACGGCATAATCATTCGTCCAGTTCCTTCTTCTTGCGAGAAAGCATAACCACGCATTGATGTTGTTACTCCAGTTCGCATATAGGTTATGCTTGCGGCTCCTTCAGGTGAATCACTCGAGGCTGCTAAATACTCCATTGGGATTGAGGGTACCGATGGTGTGTCTGAATCAGACAATATAGGCATTGTGCGATCTGTCGCGAAACTTGCACGCGGAGTTTGTACATCTCCATCACTATTAAATGGTTTCATAGACTCGGATCCCGTGTGATTTGAATCACGAGTAAGTTGTCGTCGAAGATTTGTAGCATATGGCATGAAATTACGATCATGTATGAAATCATGATTCGGATCTTGTTTACAAATTTCTTGTACTATATCAATATCATGGGGTTTCAAAAGTCGTTGTATGTATCTGACCAAGTATCGGGGCAGTATTGAGAGGACCACTATTAATATAATACAAAGCCAAAACACTGCATTACCATAAATGGTTTCTTCATATCCGTAAAGTCCCGAAAATGGAAGAAGAGTATAAACCGCAACATAAATGTATACTAATGCGATCGACCCAAATACCGCTACGAAGTGAAATACCGTCCAACTTTGCATATTGAATCCTACGAATAAATTCGCTAGCATTATACAAGCAATAGCCATCGTAGAACCCATTTCTAAAGAATCTGGTTGAAACCCTTTGTTATTGACAGTCCCCTTTTGATATGCAAAATACGGTACAAAAAAGCACACCAATGATTGATAAAGTCCTTCAGCCATATAGATGAAAAATCGAAGCATTGAAAAGGCTTTCTGGAAAATTCCCCATTGATATAATTCAGGTACTTCGATTGCGACTCTGTCCGATAAATCTCGATCAAACACTCCTATTGCCAAAACTGCTATGCACGTGAAAAATAAATTCCAGAAGAGCACATATGTATATTCGAATATTACGGTGGTTGAAAAACCACAAAAAAATTGAAACCAAAAGAGAACACCAACACCGATAAGATTTTTGTAAAAGAAATTCAGGATCATTGATGTATTTCGGACATATGCGTAGTGACCGTGTACAAGCAATAGGCGCGTCAAATATCGAAATTGAGCTATAGCGTAATCTGAAGCCATGACAGCCTGCAGTCCTTCTTCGCCAGCCACCCCAATTCCAACATGTGCAGCCTAAATAATAATTTATAAAAATCTATGACATAAAATAATAATAATAAGACGAGAAACTATGCTAAATATATTTATTTACCTGGATCATACTAACATCATTGGCACCATCACCGATAGCACAAGTCATCACTGATTTTCCTTGTTTAACTAACTCGACAACTTTTGCTTTTTGTAGAGGGGACACACGACAACATATAACTCCTTTACACCGACAAGCAAGCTCCAGCAATAAATCTCGACTCCATGGCTCTTCTAATGCATATTTAAGAGCTACACCGTCAATTACGAGAGCGTGACCACCAGCACGTGGAGAAGTCGATACACCAGACTTCATTGAATATATTGATCCGGTGCGTGCATGTGATGTGGAATTACGTGGAGTACTGCTAAATTGATTCAATGGAGGGACTTCAGTCGATCGAATTTTTTGTTGAATTTCTGGATCTGTGCCGAAAAATTTTTCCATCGCATTCCTCATTTGTTCATATGCACTACCAGATTCCCCATATGCACCACCACGTACAATTATCAAACTCATATCTTTACTCAACAAACAAGTGGAGAATCCAATACTAATTGCTGTTTCCATCTTATCACCAGTCAAAACCCAAATTTTGATACCAGCACGCTTTAGAGTTGCAATACATTCAGGAACACCATCCTGGAGACGATCTTCAATAGCAGTTGCTCCAAGAAGAGAGAGATTTTGTTCAATTTGATCACAAACGGTTTCAATTCTACTTTCGCGATCAACAATTGACGTCGAAGCTTCACGGTATTCGATATTCCATTTTTCATATGCTTTGATATCAATAGTCTTTTTCGCCAAACACAAAGTTCTTAGACCTAGAAACGAGTAAATATCCGGTCAATGATCATTTATGACAATTAAATTGACGCGTTGAAATTTACCTTCTTTAGCAAACTCTTCTAAATGTTCACCAGTAGTGTTAAACATATAATCTTGGCCGGCACTTAACCGCTCAAAAATAACATTATCGGCACCTTTACAAAACAATGTGATTGTTCCATCTTCAGGAGACTTTAAAAGTATACTCATTCTTTTTCTTGCACTGGTGAATTCTAAAATATTTAATAGCTCATATTGAATTTCTTTACCCTCCGGATCAGTAATGACAATGATGTTAGATTCACGAGACCGAAAAGCATAACCAATATCTTTTGCTGCCCTGACAAGAGCTGCTTCGTCAGGTGACTGAGCTTTATAAACCTCGCCTTCCGGTGTTGAACTGACAAGAACAGTATGACACACAGCTAAAAGTATCCAAAAATCCTTAATTGCCTCTATATGTTTTAAATTCTTGGAATTATTCATATCGATCAATAATTCTGCATCAAAAAAAGGAGAATTTTCTGGTTCTGCAGACGAATCTAAATTATTTGATGAATTTGACGCGGTAGAGCTCGTGTCTTTCTTCTTTTTTGATTTCTCAGAAATGTCTACATCTATTTTTTTGGTCTCTGGTGGAGTTCCGTGATATATTTTTCCCCCGATGGAACATTTTCGAAATTCCATCACATTTTGGGTGAGTGTACCGGTTTTATCCGAAAATATATATTCGATTTGACCTTTGGAAAAAAAAGTCAAAACTTGAGATTAATAAAAGATTATATATAGATATATAGTAGAAAAGAGGCCTGTATGTATACCCAAATCATCAGATAAATTCCAATTTTTTGGAATACACGGTGTATCAGTTTTTGCATATCGCATTTCATCATCCATGTAAATGAAGAAGGCCTGTTATAATGCGTATTAAGAATAGACGATATCGTTAATTGGATAATTTTGCTTATTAAAAACCTATTAATAATAACAAGTCTATATAGAAATGATAAATACTTGAACACTTTTAATAAATTCAATTGAGAGATAAAGAGAAATTGGTACAATATTCTGAAATGTGACCATTGCATTCCTAGTAATAGAGATGATGGTTATTGTATAATTTACATAATAGCTAAAATTTATTGAGCAATAAGATTGAACAAATTACATTACCAGAAAGCTATGAAAGCGTTATATCCAGGTTTATCAGTACTAGTTCCTTTTTGGTTCAAAAAAGGAGAGTCTTTGTTTACGTAGATCGATTCCCAAATTTTTGTTCCAATAGCACATAAAGTACACAAGATTACCATTAGAAATAAATTAATTAATCTAAAAAATTATTGGAGCATAAAGTTAAAATTAAACTTGTATTGAGATCCCCTTTTGAACAAGAATACACGAATACGTACATTTGTGGATTCATCTGTTTTTCAATTCGACTTCGTTTTGATGGAGTTTTACCAGAATTCAACGCAAGTTTCGTATCAGTTCCAGTAAACACCACTAATCCGATTACCCATTCTGTATTTTTCAATACACAACCCCTCAATAACATTGCATTCAAATTAATCGGTACTTTTATTGCGCTACCACGAGCGCGTGGCCGATCTGGTAGACCTTCTGGAAATACTAAAGTTGCATTATAGCTGAATAGATTTGTGGTCGGTGGTTCAGAATCTACTAAGAATTTAATAGATGCGCAGTCTTTCGGTGTACTGATGTGATCTGTTTCGGGAACTGTTTGTCGAATTTTTAAATTTGTTTCACCGTCAAGATTTTTAGTCTCGACATAACATAAGGAATTCGGTTCAGATGTGGAAAGTATAAGAACATCTAATGATCACGATAAAAGATCATTATGTAATTAATAGAATAGAAAAATGGAAAAGATCGTTAAAAAATATAAACTACCAGCTGGAATGAAGTCATCATTTTCAAGCTTAATGAAATCGCCCACTCGCACATCTTTCCAAAGAGTCTTTTGCCATTCCGGTTCTCCACTTTGAACAGTTCTTTGTATTGGTTTTCGCGTAAAAAATGATTTTACACGCTGAATAGTAGACATTGAATCATCAGAACAATTATAATTTTGCCAATTTTGAAGTGTCCATGTCTTTCGATTATTTAAAGTCTTATCTGTCACATGACGCTTCCAATCTTCAAATCCATCCTTTATAGCCGTAATACTTATAATGATAAACATTGGTAATGCCGCCACAACAGGATTTATAGTCAAGAATTCGGGAAACCATTGCAATATAACCAACGCAAGAAAAAAAAAGTTTGCCACACGACGAAATTGTTCGTACAGATTTTTCGGTATGAATGTTAAAAGGGAATATTTCGACGTTTTTACTTTGTTTGTGACATATCTTTGTAGTGGCTGTCCTTTTGCATCAAGTTTACTTTTTGGTAATGTTTCATTAACATATACTTGACGTGCTAAGCCTTGGGGTTTTTTTGGCCGCAGTAAATTTATCTTATCTAAAAGCATTGTTGTCCTGGTTCCACCTTATTCTATATTTTCTCTTCACTGCCACAAATAATATTTATATTTAAAAAAAATAAAACGAGAATTTTGGAAGAGCGACTAAAAATTTCAAGTTTGTTCTATAAAGCATATCGATATAAATTTGATAAACAAAACAGATACCAATACTAATATACTAATTCAAAATGAAATATCTTCGGATTATTCCAAGTTCCGGTTTTATCCCTTTCGGTAGTTCCCCCTACTAATAAAATTTCCATCAAGTCATAGTGATAGAATCCTCTGATACATAAAGGTCAAACACAATGAAAAATTCATTAATAATCTCATATTTGTTGTTCTAGACGAAACCATTTTGCAACTTTTATTCTCATTATATGCAAAAAATGGCAATTTCTATACATACTGCTTATATATATGGTGCATCTATGATAAACTTCTTTACTAAAAAGTAATACAAAATTTAATCTGTGAATATGTTCAAAAAAGGGCCTATTATATCATATTTACTTCTTATTAAAGAAGTTTATCCATTTTATAAAATACAAACGTTTGATGTTATGTACCATAGCTGATCTTGAAAATCTGACTGTTTCATAAATATGTTTATCTTATTAAATACAGCCAGATCTCCATATAAGCACCGCCTCGTGTACAGCAATAGTAATAAGTGTTGGTGTTTAAATCTGTTAACGTTAATGTAATAATATATTTTACTCGTTTTAAATTACAATATACAGTGGCAATCAAAAGAAATATAACATCAAACTTTTATTTTTATACAAAATTACAAATAATAACCCATATTTTTTGAGAAAGTTTTTCTAATTGCAAAATTGATTAATTTTTTATAATTAAAACATAAAAAATTAATCAACTTATTTTGCAATTAGAAAAACCTTCTCAGAAAAAATATATGTTAAAATATGAATTTTATTTTTATATAAAAATAAAAAACATTGATTAATAAAATCAAAATCTTTATATAAAAACTATTAGATTTCTTTTAATTATTATTATATATTAAAAAATATTATTTGATAATATATATTAAATAATATTTTAGGAAATAAGAGTTTTTTAAAAATATATTTCTTATTAGTATTATATGATATATAATGATATAATAATATTTTATTTAAAGTAAAAGTAAAATAAAACAATATATATTTGTATATTTTTTATCTAATTAATAATTTAATACTTTTAGTTAATTAATTAATACTTAATTTAAATATAGAGTTTCAAAAAATATCTAATTCAGTTAAAATTTGATTCAGTTTGAACTTGAACTAGACTTGAAACTGATCGAAAGTCTGATTTAAAAATTTAAATCTGATTTGAATTCAGTTCAAACTTTGAATCAAATTCAGACTTGATCAAAATCTGGTTCAAGTTCAAGTAAATAATTAATAGAGTTCTAAATAAAGTTATAAATCTTAATCAAAATTATAAATTGATATAAAATAATTAATATTTAGAATAAATATTTAAAAAGTTATATAAATTTAAAAAATTTTTTAATTATTATGATTTTAATTTGCTTTAATTATAATATAATAAATATTTATTTTGCTATAATAATTATAAGTTATAATTATAAATAATATTGTAACCAATAATAAGAACTACAAATTGATATAAAATAATTGCTATTAATAATAATTATTCAAGAAATTATATGATATTTATGATCAAATTTAATAAATATAAAAATAAAAATATTTTAATTCTTACTAAATATTATAAATTACATTTATAAATAAAATTATAACTTATATTTAGAACTACAAATCAAATATATGATACTATATACTAATTTTAAATCAAATTCAAATCAAATTCAAATTTATATAATAATTTAGTTTGAATTTGGTTCAAATTTTGAATCTTTTTTGAATTTAAGTCAAAAGTTTAGTTAAAGTTTAGTTCAAGTTTAATTCAAATTTTGAATTAAACTTGAATTTAAATAAAAGTTTGATTTAATTCATAAAAATATTATATATATTTTTATAATTAGAATATTTTATAATATAGTTAATTATAAATAATTAATTTTTTTTATTTTATTTAATAATTTACTATAACTTATTTAATATAACTTATTATTTATTATTATAATTAATAAATATATTAAATATAAATATAAATAATTATTTTTTTTATAATTAAGATAATTTTTTTAAAATATTCTAAATATAAATATAAATAATTTAAATTGATATTTTTATTATAATATTAATCTAAAAAAGTTAAAAATATAAAAATTTTAAAATTAATTATATAATTAAAAAGCTTTTATTATTTCTTGAAGTTTTTTAAAATAAAACAAGTTATTTAATTAGTTTAGCTATAAATTTATTTAAGATAATTTCTGAAATAATATTATTTAATTAAATAATTTGTCAAAATTAACTTGTTAAAATTAAATTCAAAATTATTTTAATTGATTTTATTAATAATTAAAATTATTTTTCAAAATTATTTGAAGTTTACAAACTAAAACAAGTATTTTTAGATAATTTTTAAGTATTTATTAATATAAGCAATATAATCAAATCTCTCTATATTCATCACTCTTGGAAAAACAAAATTTGGTGACTATAGAGAGAATATGACTATAAAGAGTTTTTTTACTATATTTATATGTAATAAGAAAGCAAAATAGAGTGACTATAGAGAGATATGACTATAAATGAGTGTAACTATAGAGAGATTTGACTATATAGTAAAACTAAATTACTTACTGAAATACTATTTTTTCCAAAAATAATTTAGATAATTTTTTTAAATCTATTATAATAGATAATTTTAAACAAATATAACTAATCAAAATTATATATAATATATATATTTTAATTATTTTCTTTATAAATATGAAAAATATTCTTTAATATTAATTATTTTAAGTATAATTTTACTTTTTTTAATATTATCTTTATATTTTTCTTTATATTATTTTATATTATTATATTTATAAGAAATAATATCTTAACAAAATTCTTATATATTATTTATATAATATTTTTAATATTATCATTATTTACTATTTTTCTTGATCTTTTAACATGAAATATTATTAGATCTCAAATGATATTTAATCAATTTTTATTTATAAATATTTATTTATTTATTTTAATTATCTATTTATATTTAATGATATTATGAATTATCAATTACTTTATTAATTTGTTATATTATTTTTATTAGT